ATCTACTAAATTTTATTTGCCATACTTTTAGATGTACACTATATGTTTGTTTTCAAAATTTTATAACAATAGCTTTATTGGTTTAATAATGATCTCTTTTTTTGTAAAATTAAATTTTTCTACAAATGTTTCTATCCACGCCATAAAAATCATATTTTTTAAAAATGTAGTAATTTTAATTCACAATTCCTGTGTTTTTTGTTTTTTTTAAATATTGTATTGTAGCCAAAAAGATACAAACTAAATATTACAAAAAGAGTAATAATTCTATAACAGTTTCAAAAATTAAATACAAAGCTAAATAGTGGGGCAAAATAAATGAATAAAAAATCATAACTTTTCTCCTATAAGTGACAGAAAGATTATCTGAAAGACATCTCTTTCCAATATGCTCCTACTTTGTGTATGAGTATGTCAAATGTATTTGAAAATTTGAGTTGGAGTGCCTAGCTATTATTAGTTTGTACGATAAGCATTGATTATTGATTGGATGACAATAACATGGATTGAATGAAAAGAAAGAAATTGTTATGAATGATTGTAGTTAGTAGATTATTTGTTTTTCAATTTTATTATTACTAATTATTATGTATTTTGATTAGCCATACTCAACATGTAACATACTCTTGTCTTACTCTTGATACTGGCAATGGCATGGGGTTTAGAAAAACAAAAATTATTTTGGAACCAACTAATCTAGACTTGACAAAAGTGGGCGTGGGCTGAATCCATGCCCACGGGCAAGCTCCTAATTCCTAGTCCTATAAATATATTAGTATATATTTATCTAACTAAGCATAATCATCAGAGTGCCAATATAGGTATAAATAAATTATAATAAATGAGAGTTAAGTTACGCCCTGAATCAGGCTAGGCTAGGAGTAAGTGTTAAGACTCACTGGCGTGCCAAATCAACATTAGTCAATGATTAGTCAGAAGCCATTAACCCTCTGGAGATGTAAGGGCCGATCAATCGGCCCAAGGTTGACTAGCAAGAAAGACGTAAGTCCGAACTATCGGCCCGATAAATTGAGCCTCACGATTGGCTGGCTTGGCGTTGTATCAGCGAATCAAAATTATTTTTACGTATTCCTGCACATCCCGGCATTTTAATGGCGGCGTTCGATGAAGGTGAACTCAATTTACTTGTGTGCAGGAATTTTTTTTTGTGTGTAGTTACATCATGAAATTCGAACATGTCTGACAGTGACTCTGATCAAACTGTGCTGTGATTTTGATATTCTAGCAGTGAATCTGACACTGAAACTGATGAAAACAACTAGTATTAGGGGTCCTCAAATGGACAGAGATGAATTTTAAGACAACATAAGTCCTATAAATAAGGCATAAGCACCAAAGTTTAGTACTTTATGCTATTTTTTTACACTAAATATCACTCAAATGTTTATGAGAGAGACCAATAGATATGCAAACAACTTTCTCTGTAACAACATCCAGCCTAAGAGAAGGACCCTAGGTCATAAATGGGGGCCTGTTACTGTTACAGTGTGTCTGTAACAACTGAAAAATAGGGGGGGGGGATGGAAAAAGAGTAGAACCATGTGCCAGATGTATCTGAAGGGCCGCCATGGGCCTTGTCTCCCAAAAACATAAGTGTTAGGACTTATTCAGGCTTCATCCATCAAAAAATTCACGATTCACACAATTGATACAAGTAAGTCATGTTTAGTCTAGGTGTAACAAAAAATTACTTGCATAAATTATGCAAAATAGGGTAGCTCATTTGCATAAACTTTGATATTTCAGTTTGATTTATAAAAATTGTATTAGTTCATTCAATTTCCTACAAGAATATCTATAGTTTTACATGACATATATTAAGGGAATAGTTTATTTTTTATAAAAATTTTTGCAATGCGAGTGCCCAGCTCTAAAAAGGCCTCCGTCTTTTTGGCACATACACCCCGGAAAAGGCTACGTCTCCAGAGGGTTAAGTATAATTAATAATATGACTATGACATGACTAATAATCAGACAGTGATTTTTAGTTTTTAAAGTTCTTACCAGCTAAAATGCCAAGAATGTCAAAGACGATTCTTAACATAAGCTTTTTCCTGTGTGTTGCTTTTGAAAGACTTTTTCGGAGCTTATCCATTATTTATTTTAAGACCTATTTATGTGTCATTAAACACGATTAGTATCAACTATGGACAGGAACTAAAGAAAAAGCCCATGACGCCATTCCTGAGACCGAATTGACTATGACTATACTTAGATTAGACTATCCTATACTATAAATACTAACTAGGCCTATGCCTATTATATTTATAAATTTTGTTTGTAATGGATTTAGGTTTATTGCAGTACTAGCAGTAGACAATTTATATCTTTTTATCATGGAATTTGAATTCGCCTTTATTAATAATTATTATTTAGTTTCTAAAATTGAAGGGCAAAGTTGTATGCTTAACATTAATTAAAATGGTGTCAATTTTGAATTTTTTTTGCCAGAAATGAATTTATATTTTGTGTAATCCCTAATATTAATTAGTGTATTAACTTTATTGTATAATTATTTAATTTAAGCTCAAATTTATCATTAATTTATGAACAATTTCATCACTATACTATGCCACACGCTCTCAACACTTTATATTATATTTATATTATATCAATATCATTAATAGGTACATTTTAATTGATTTTGTTGTTCCCTAATTTATAATTAATTAAGAATTTTTGCCAACACTGCATCGAGTACGTTGTTTTGTGTCTCTCCCCCCTCAACCGGTTTTCCCTAACTTGTGTTTTCCTTTTTATTGTTATAAAATAGTTTCTCCCTACTACTAATGGCATTTCCATTTTGTTGATAGGACGTTATTTATTATATAATATATTTTATTTTTTTTGTGTGTTAAACACAAGTGACATTTTAAGGTTTTCGTGCAGTATTCACCTGGTGAAGGCTGGATGACAAAGCGGGTTGACACTGTCGCTCAAATTATCATGTTTCACCGCGTCTCCTTGTTGGCCGAATAAACGGATGGGTGAGCTCAGATCTACATTTTGGTTTTATGCCCAGGTAAAGAGTTACTCATTTTAAACGGGATTTTTCAAACATTCATTGTTTTAAAAAGTATATAATTCTTATTTAGCCGATGTAAAGATTACAGTTTTAATACTAAAAAGTAGAAAATATAAAATTATTTGAAAAACTTATTTAATTTAAAGAGACTTTCTATCATTTATCAAAGACGAGTTAAAGTTAACCTCACCAGAAAGTAGAAAATAATTTTAAATTTCTTAAAATGCATTACACAAAGACATATTTATAAATCCTTTTTATTAATTTTGCATTTGTTCGTAGGTAGCTGGCAAAATATTCGGACGGCTAAATGACCCACTTCCCGTCAACATATTGAGCTGAAATCTCGCACAGTCTTGATGACGATGAAAACAATCTTATTTTCAGCCCCTCCCTGAAAAATTTGTTTTCCCCGTTTTTCAAGGGAAACATGAAAGGAAATCCCCCATAACTTAGTATAACTGCGACAAATGAAATTCTCTTTAAAGAATATTGCAAGTGCGTTAGGTGCTTAAAATTTTCCTTTGTTTTTCTGAAATAATTATGCATTGTAAAACTGGATTGGGTCATTAGAATATTAATAAAGTTCAGAAAGGTGGGGGGAAAAATAGTGCGGTATGCCAGTCTTGGGGGCGGTGCTCCAATTGGGATTCTTATAATTATAAGTGAGCGTGACTTGTACTTGTATCCATGATGTGTTAATTTTTTCAGCGCCTCCCCCCCCTCCCCTTTCTTGATATTACATTTTATAAGGGATTTATAGTATACGAAAAACTTTGTTTTTTAGGGATTGTTTAATTTAAAACTAAGTTTTAACAAACCTAATCACAAACCCACCTCAAGTTTTTAAATTACACATTCAATTCATTCATAGTGTTATAGTAGACAGTTGAAGGAGTATGGTATGGGCTAATGAAATTTACATAGTTCATCCATCGCCCTCAACCAATAATTAAATCTTCTTTTAAATACAATGCTGATCTTAACTCATTTTGTAACAAAAATGTAACAAATAAACTAGGCCTACTTATTCCACTGTTTAGGGCAACATTTTCGGAGTAAGAAGCCATTTTTTAAGTTTAGGAAAACATTTTGAGAGATGCAGGTAGATACTTTGAAATTTCCCTCCGATTCGACGCCTCACTCCCTGGAAGGATTTCATGTTTATTTCACCCTCTGATGGCTATGGATTCCAAACAAAGTTTGTTTTACCATTTGCCATTATTATATTGTTTGTAGGCCCTACTTAATTTTAGCCGGGGCTAATTCTATCACAAAAGAAAAAGTACTTGAACTTTCGTCATTTTTATATGGGTCATATTTGGAGAAGTTTGTATTCTCCCCCATGCTGACTAATCTTGTATAGGAGTATTAGGAGCATCCTCTTTCTTGGTTCTATAGCGTTAACGGTTGTAGGGGTTAACTTTTTTCCAAACTGGCCCTGGGTGCCTTCTTTTTAAGAATTATACCTTAGGTACCAAAGCCATAAAATACTTATTTAGCTAACATTACATAACTTATTATCAAGGTTACTTCTGGAGTAAGCTTACACATAGCCTACCTTACACTTACTTACACAAAACAAATAAGGAAAGGATGTGTTAATGTATGCATGGGTGTATGTGTGGGTGTGTCTTAATAAATTAGACATTTTTGCAAATCATCCCTGTGAATTGTAAATGTAATGCTCTCAATGTATAGTACAATTGTTTTTAAGTTCAGTCTTTACTTTAACTAACTTAGTAATAATAATAACGAAACGAAATACTGGATCCTAACACAAGAGCTGGTCCAGAAAAATCTCCAGAATACACAATTGCAATGGACTGTGTTGGACTTCATAATTTATGGTCACATTTGTGACTACCAAATTCTAATCAAGTATTTACTGTAGACTAATCAAATTCTAATCAAGTAATTACTGTAGACTAAAAAACAAGAATCCAAAAGATCAACAGGTTTTGTCTTGAAAATTTAATCAACATTCTCATCTCAATGTTACCAGAGAGCTACTCATAAAGACAAATGTGTTACTGAGCACTGCTCGTGGCAAAGCTATACACATAAGTGAGACAATGATACACCAAAACTTTTTAACTATTTGTCACCGTCAAAACTGTCAAACCAAAGGAATAAAATATGAAATAATTCAATAATTACTACTTTTTTTTAAAAAACAAAAATCATTTTCTCCTTTACACACTTCAGCTAGTACAAGATGACCTTCCATTTATATAATAAAGAGAATGATTTAATTTGTTAATTAAAAGGAAACATTGGCACTAGAAAATCAACAAGTGCTGTTATTCGTAAATCTTAACAGGTGCATCCACCAGCTTGAACCAGTAACCACATTCACAGCGTTTAGGCTCCCCTTTGTGTACATACATCCAGTTTATGGTCAGTGCATCTTCTTCACCTGTTGAGAGCAAGTGTTGCAGAACTAAGAAATGCATAACTGACTTAAAAGAAGGAAAGTGGTAAGACCATTATTAATTGAAGTTACAAAATTTAACACAATCACTTCATGGAAAAATAAAAAGTTAATTTGACCATTTTTATTTTTCCAAAAATATTGTTGGCCTACATGAGTTGGTTTTTACACATAAGAAATTACTGTAATTTCTTGTACTGGTATATCTTTTGGATAGTAAATATCAATTTCTTTCTAGGAATTGTCTCATCTTTAAAACTGTTAGTGTTTTTGTACCAGAAAATGCTTGAGATGAAAAAAAGTTAACTAGAATCTAAAATACAGCACGACAACAAGGCACTTACATATGCAGCCTATCATCCTCCTTTGGTTTACAGATTTTATAACAGTTGGTTTGTCAAATGTGCCCTTTGTTGCTTTAAGTACTTTCATCTCAAATGGGTCCTTTCAACAAAGAAAAACACAAAGCGTTTAAATCAGAAACCTAAGAACCATTCAAGTGTCACACACAATGCTGATAAAAGTCTTCATTCAAATTGACATATAACCAAAGATGGACCTTAATTTCAAATACTCACATCATCGCCAGCCTGATGTGCTAAAAGTTCATGGCGCTCCAGCCCAACAGCATGTCCTAAGTTGTCAGGTAACTCAATTTCATCGGAGACTGAAATGTAAATAATTCAAGGTAAGGTAAATGACATTCTTAATTATTTATGGCATATGAAATGTAAATAATTTTAAATAAAAAAAAAAACTGACTGGTTGCAGGTTAAAGAAGTCTGAAAATACTGAATAGGAAAGGTGTTAGCCCTTAATTTATGGAAGGATGACATTTTTGTACACAACAACTAGGGATTAACAATTTTTTTTTAACCAATTTTAATCAGAGGCAAGGAATTTTTTTATTTAATTACAGACAAAATTAATTTAATATATTCATGGAACATTTTCATATTTATTTACTGCATTCAATTTATTGCTGAACAGTTTGCACCTTAATGTAAAGGAAGAGAATATTACTTTTACAGTATCAAATGTCATACTGTTCCTGTGACAAGCACCACATTTCTATCCCATTTTAAACTCACAATGCTTTCTAAGAAAAATATAAAGACAGAATACTATGTATTTAAGAAAAACATCATCAGCAAACCATTCCAACCTAACACACAGTCTGTGATGAAATTTAGCTGGACATTTAAATTACAATACAGTGATATATTTAGAATACCGCTCTAGAACGCACCCCCTCCCAATCACTTTTCTGGTTGATTTTTAGTTATTCTCCGTTATCAGGAAAATCTAACCTGGTAAGTTGTTTAAGCATTTGATTTCAAACCTTTTATTTTGATAAATTTTAACATCATGTACCTTGTATTTAAAGTTTATTATGTATTATAACTCTCAAAAGACGAGAGATTGAAAAATCGGTCATATCTCACAATTGAAAAAAAAAACAGCCCCAAAATATATACAAAATGTATATTAAAATGCGAAAATAAAGATTTACTAATTCGGCATGTTAAATTTCTATTTGGCAATAAAGAAAAATCATTTATACTTCTAGTTCTCAAAGCAATCTGGTAGCAACTTGTCCATTCATGAATTTCCTTTTCAGTGTTTAATATGTTTTGCCACAAGACTGTATAATATTATTATGATGATACTTTACAGTATTCTCTGTATCAGAAACTTCTGAAGTGCTATCTTAATAAAAAATATTCCTCTAAGGAAGAATTATTGTCCATTTCAAGCTTATAACCAGAATCAGGCTCCATGAAAATGCTTAGTGTGTAGTATTAGTGAACCAGTCAAGTTTGCTTATAATCAGGGGTGCCACTCACTGAAAGCTGTGAACCCTGAAATCCCTTTCTAAAAATTTCTTGAAACCTGAAACTTCATTTACAAATTTTTCAATCCCTGAAACTTAATGAAACTCAAAATTCCTGATTATCGCAATGCAGCATTTTGTTGATTAATATAAAAACAAGCATGAAATTATCAAATAAAACATTGAGATACATCACAAATGAACAAAATAAAGCAATTAAGGTGTATACATGTAAACATTTATTAATACTTATTAAATTTACAGCAATAGCAATTTTTCAATTTCTTTAGACTTGAAAAAAGTATCTTTTCATATATGGAGTTAATGTTCTCTTCTTTATGATGAAAATGGATAGTTTGAATCAACACACTTTAGTGTCTTATACTATCTCCCAAGTGTGAGAGTTTCATAGTTTGACACATAAATTTCATAAATTGAGAAGTTACAAAAGTGGACACCTAAGATGGTTGATAAAGCTGGTATCATCAGATGATTGACTCAGACATTTTCCCCTTGAATACTTGATATCAATATTTCCAGCATAGTATTCATTGATGGCTTATTCAATCATGATTGTCAATTGCTATACTGTACTGTAACTGTAATGCCCATCAGTTCTTTAAAGTTAAAGGAACTGTTAACTGTTGGGCATTACATATTTTTATTGAGCCTAGATCCTGAATAGTGAAACAAAATAAAATATATTATCATATTAGATTTATAGTTTATAGTAAGGCATACATAATAATATATTTTTATTGAGCCTAGATCCTGAATAGTGAAACAAAATAAAATATATTATCATATTAGATTTATAGTTTATAGTAAGGCATACATAATAATAATATCGACTATATTATACCAGTATTTAACTACGGCACTACTGCTACGGTAATACAGAGCATTATGAACACTAGTAATCCAGAGTCAGAACACGGGAGTGCATAACTAATAAATAAAAACTAACTAAATACAGTTATGTCAGGCTCACTACAGAACGGATAAAAAATAACTTAATCATATTGGCCTATTTAAAATGAGAAGGCTTACTCCGTAATTAAATGTCAAGTGAACTTAAGAAGTCTTTTTAAAAAAGTTAAACGCCGCCTAGCTCTTCTAATAAAAAAAAAATACAAGTCGCCTGCTAACAGTAAGAAGCTACATAACAACGTACGCTAAGCTTAGTCTTGTTAGACAGCGCTCGGATGTGTAGTTTTCTTTAATGATAATGGTTACCCAACAATTAAAAACTAAATTAAAAAGATATTTACTAAATTTTACACTTTGCTTACCCAAACACTTCAAATATCTCTTGATCGGCGACGTGAACAGAAAATAAATATTTCTGGTCTATCGAAGTAGTACGGTACTCGAAACGCGTAGTGTAAAGCGCATGCGCAAGGGGAAACCACTAGCTCTCTGGCAACAGAAAGGCTAAAAATAGACGAGATCGGTGATTAACGTCCATTTTCAGGAATTTTCCTGGTTTTTCGCGAATTCTGTTGCACGTTGATTCTTTAAAAAAAAACAAAAACAGACAGAATCCGTATTTGAATAAATTGAACTGGCGAACCCGGAAAGAGAGAATATAAAAACTCGCGAATCCGGAACTGAAAAATATTTAGCCTCACGAATCCGGAATTCCGGGATAACCCGGAAAAGTGGCACCCCTGCTTATAATCTTGTCTTAAAATGATTCATTTTAAACGTCTTATAATTATTTAGATGTTTAAGGATTTAACATTAACGAATAACAGTGATAGCAGCCATTTACGGCTTCTCGATCAAAATAAAAAAATAATGATAATTTCATACCCCCCACTTATTCGGGGGTTGCATAATTTTTTATCGAGAGCTCAACGATAATAACTCAAAAAATGAAAAAAAACTCTTACAATGAATGTAGATTAGGGAGCACTAAACCTTATTTTGGTGGCTTTACTAGTAAAAAAGTATTTATGCGATTTATATACTAACCGTGTCATCATAATAATACTGCCTGTGATGCAAAAAAAATATCGTAGCATAAATCAATATATGACCGGAACACAAAAACTGATATGTCAGTGATGAGGAAAGCAATTATTTAATAAACAAAGGTGACGTAGTCTGCAATTTTCCAATGATACAGTGTTGCTAAACGCCATATTGCAGAACATGTTTTTTCTACATTTTAGGACATGCGCAGAACGGTGCGTGGACAAGTATTGTTATCCCTAATCCAAGTAAGGCTATTACCATTACAAAGAGAATTATTATATTGTAAACAATCAGCTGTGTTTCCTTTTCATTGAAAAAAAAGTAATTTTCACAGATTGTTTTCTATTTTGAAATCTTTTTAATACACTGTAAATGTTGTATTTGAGCTAAACTAATAAACATTTTAAAATAAATATTTATTGACAGTGGCTGACAGCATCTACGATAGGCAGATATCAATGGATTATGATGAAAATGACTGTGGGACTCTTAATTAAGAGCATTTCTGCATTTATAACAGAGGTACAAATCATATAGCTTTTTGATTTTAAAAACAAGAGAAGATATAAAGAGATTTCAAAAGCAAATAGACTTTTCAAATTATATTTTACTACAGATTCGTTTGCGTGTTAGTAAGCAGTATGTGTAGCACAATGGACCGAAGAAACTTGCCGTTTTCAAAAATTGGTATGGTACCGGTATAAGATCATTGAAGAGTAGTTTTATCTACTAAGTGAATTTAATGTGAATGCGGGACTTATTCAAGCTCTTAATTTTAAAAGACTGTGGTCCAGGAAATCCTTACATGATGGACTAAGAGCAAGGCCATTATAACGAGGGAAATATTCAAGGCACCATTGAGCTTCATAAAAGTTTCTGATACTGAAAATAAAGGAGACTTGCTGTGCAAAATAGGGAGACTCTTATGTATCTCAATACAAAATACAAAGAACCTTATCAGCATCAAGAAAATCTAGCAATTAATGAACAATTTATCGAACATATGACATCTTTGATGATGTACCCGGAAGATGATTTTCCGATTACACATGTAGACAAAGATAATTCCAATTATTTTAATAGTGGATCAGAAACCGAATGTTCAAACCATTAACCTAGGCCTAGAACCAGTATGCGTTGCAGCAACACTATGTTGCAGATGATTTTGTACAAAAAAATGATTGGATATTGTTCTATATATGTTTTCTTTTATTTCATTTTATGGATTAAATATTTATATAACAGCTATTTAAATTTTATCTGTTTCATGCTATTTAGTAATGTTTATATTGTTTATGTCATGCTTTGTTACTTGAACATAATTATAGGTATCAGAAGAATTTTTAAAAAAAAAAATTATTAATAACTAAAACATATACAAGTAATACATTTTCTGAAAGATACATAAATAAGTTATCATATTATATAAAGATTATAATAATATGGCTTTAAAAAATTGTAGTTTAGGGTACTTGAAAAAAACAACAAATTTCATTATTTTCTTTATTCTTGGTCACTCCAAAGAGAGGGTCACGGTCAGCGAGTATAAAATATTAAAAAATAGCCAGTATGATTCCCCACTCAGTCTACTTTCAATAAATATATACATTATGGGGTCTAGGGGTATTTGCATGTGAAAAATCACCTTTTTCAAAGGCACCCAAAAAACTCAAAATTCCCCAACAGTTCAGAAACATAACATAGACACTTCGTGGGTTAACAGCTGGATTGAGGATCATTTCCCTGAGGCCAGATTCCAAGGACTCCGCCCAATAAACATCCAAAAAGAACAAGCATTTAGTCTGCATTGATAGGACTGTGTTGGAAGGACTCTTACATCCACAACACACCACTGGGAAGTCCACATATCACAACATGCAAGGGAAAGGCTACTCCACAATTTACTGCTGTGGCATCCATTTTCATTCCCACCCTGCGAAGCTCATGTGAAGTTTACTACCAAGCTTAGGTAATGCAACAATGAGATAAATTGATATACAATCTTTTAAAATTAATGTAGGTGACATTGATGCTATTTTTGTTAAAGACAACTTTGAATGGGAAATGAAAATTAGTGTTAATGCTAGCGGCCATCTGGATGAGAGTCAACTTGTGTTTCAGAGATTATAATTGAAGTTTTTCTACCTTTTTTTCATGGAGTTTTTCTTGAACTCTCCTCTGCAAATTATTGTTATTTTAGTTTATTTTATAGTTCACTTTTTTTTTTTTTTTTTTTGGTTTTTTTTTTATCTTTCTTTTGTAAATTATTTTTATTTTTGTTTTTTTTATTGTTCATTTTTTTTTTTTTTTTTTAAACTGAAGAAGGCTTTCTGCCAACACATCAGTTGTTTCACTGTGTCCATTTGTAGGTTTCCCTTAACTTTGCTAATTATTTCCTAATAAGTAACCAGGTTCAAGCGCCCCCCCCCCATACATTTTTTTATGGTGATTAATAACTCCCCAGACCCCACTTCCACTCAAAAGCCATTGGTGCCTCATAATCTGCCCTACAGGCTTATAAAAATGACAGTTTAGTAGGCACTGATCACTAATTTTGGTTCCAATAGATACACAGTACTTTGCCTACTCCCTTTCACAATGCAAAGTCAGCAGTTGTCCAAAAATGCTGCCCCTTCATATAAAGAGGGGATGACAACCCCCGTTTCTACATCACTGGTAAAGGCACATCTATAGTGCTTTGCACCAGGGGACAATATTTATTTTTACCCACCCCCACTCAATTCTGAAACCCATTATTTTCACCCATTAAATACCATCAGAGCCCTTACTATTTGGCATGCAGGGGTTATCTGTCCACCCACCCTGCTCACTTAAAATACCTCCACTCCCCAGAGGAAATTGAAAGAAACACTGCATAAAGACCTGGGCGGGTTTACACACAGTCTCACATATAAATTGATGTGTGGTGGGCAGAGACACTTTTGAGACTTCATCCTTGGCAGCATTCAGTCAAGGTACAACACTGCTATACACGCCACTCCCAAAATTATCCACATCCTTGACTTTGAGTCAACTTTTTGTTAAATATCACGAATGAGATATTAAAGTTTTTTGTTTCACGCTTTTGTTGCTTATTTACTGACATTGTACTTTTTAGATTTACATGCATTACTGCTGTCATCAAAAGACCATAGTCTCTCAAAATCCTGCACTTTGAGGGTCAATAGTTTTCTCTAATTCCTTTACTATAACTATAACTTGCTATGTATGGAGATGCCCATCAGCACTTAACTGGCATCTGTCAATCACAATGTGACTAAGGTGTAAACTTTCGCAGGAAGAAATCGGAAGGCCTGGGATTATTCTTCTAGAATCATAAGTTGATTCCCTAAAGCAAATAGCCATCTCCACACCGCTGGATAACCCAAGTCCAAATGAATCCTATTTCTGTCTTGAACTACTTAAACCTATGAAGGCCAGGGTATGTTTACTGTTTACTCTTAATTATTAGTCTTAATAATAATAAATCTACAATCAAATTTATTTCTAAAATTAGTCTAAAATTTTATAATTTTTTTACATTTTTAATTATTTCTAAGGTTAAACAATTAAACTGAAAAGTAAATATTTATCTCTAAATTTTAATTGATGATTTTGACTAGTATAAAATTCTCAAACAAATGCCTACGTGACTACAATTATATGCAAGCAATTTAATACCGGTATATAATCGGGCGGACACTTGACAAAGGTCAACACTAATATTCATAAAATTTTCATTTTTGTTCGCAAAATTTCTAAGAACGAGACACTTACGAACTTTTCCTTTATGTATGTCGACAGGTTTTGATGGTGGTCCATGCCCACATCGAACAGATGCCACAGAAATGGAGCGTTTTAAAAGGCAAGAAGTTGTCCTCCACAACGAAACAGCCATGTTGAATGTTGATTCTTGATAGCCTCAAGTGACTGGTCCAGATTTTTAACTATATGGTAGGATGTGCTAATTTTTTTTTTTTATTATCAAAAAAGAATTATTGAAAGGGTAGAAAAATGTTTTCATTTTTTATAAAATAATATTATAAGTAGCTTGTCAGAAAATGATTATTAATAACTGTTTTATAATCAGTTACAAAAATCGATTTCTATGATCCAGTTTTGTTGAATTTCTATATATTCAAATCTATTTTGTAATGTATGAACGTAATATTCTTATAATTAGCAAATGATTTACATAAACGTGAGTTATTTGATTTCATTAACTAATTATAAAAAGTGTTGGAGTGCAATAAAGCTTCAAAAAGTAGATTAATAAGACACTAAAAATTTTGACAATATAACAATATAAGTTACACTTTAATAATAATTATACATTATACAATTTAAGTTATTTGATTTCATTTAATTTTCTTATTTAGGTAGTTGCCAAAGCTGAAGAAGTGACTTAATAACTATCGAGATTTTGTCTACTTTCGATTTTGAATTAATTTCTTTTTCTTCATGTATGCCATTGCAAATAATTATATGCTTATTTCAGTTTAAGTTATAGAAATAGTTTATTTTTTACGCTATAATATTATTATTTGAATATGCGTAAATAAATGTATGTTAGAAACAAATGACTGAGTTTTGAACTTTGTTTACTAAGGTATCATCATAGATTTTTAAAAAAATATCCATTTGTACCCTTCTCTTATGTGGAAGAACAGATAGTTTGGGATTTCATCAAAATGTCTGGACTTGCTGAAATCTTGTTGCAAGAAATTGAAAAGAATGGGAGCATTCAATCTCTTGAATTTTCTGAGAGACAAGGTTTAAATCATCAAAACATCGTTGGCGCCATTAAAAGTTTGGGATCTTTGGGCAGTGTAAGTAACTAATAAGTATGCTTTTAAAGTTTTATTATGTAAAAATCAAATCAATATTGTATGTAGTATGTAGGCACTTGAATACAAATTTTTTTTAAAATTGAAATAATTTTTTTTAATAACACAGTTAGTTAGAGCAAATTAAAAAATGAAACCAGAATCAACTTATTAGCTTAAGTAATTTTTGAGCTATGAATTTTTAAAGTGTGAGTGCGTTTGGCTTTGGTATTTTTTACTATGGACGAAACCACCACGACCACATCTTGTGACCTCATTCCGCTGATCGCGTCATGTGCAATGACTATATACTTTATATAAGGCAACGCATCGCCTTATCACTAAAATACTGTTTAGGGTTGACTTAGTTTAAACTTTCAACTTTGGCACATGAATAATTAATTAAAGCTTTCCCTGACCAATAGTATAGTAGTTTTTGCACACTGCAAACTCTTATTCTTATGAATGAAACTCTGAGGTAGTACTAGGATACAGCCATTATGCAAGTGGCTGTGAATGGTTGCCAATGACAACGTGTTGCACACTGTAAATTCTGATAATTTATAATATGGATTCTACCGGGTTGTTAAAGCTCAAATTAAAACTTTCCAGTTTAAATGCCTTCAAAATGCATTCTGAAACACAAGTTATCAAATATTTTGATGTAAATAGTGGTAATAAATTAATATTTCCTAAGTATCAGCAACTTCCGCCATTAAAAAAGGGGGCGTGGCCCACCCCATGGCGAAATTAGGTTGAGCGAACTGCATGACCTGCTGCGAACGCATAGAAACATGGCGTCTCTCGTAAGACACTTATCGCTGTAAAAATTGGCATACATGTAGATCAATACATTCCCCAGATGCAAAAAAAATTTGGTAGTGACAAATCTTTTCCTTCGACTTAATTTCAATGATGAAAGTTGCCTTATATTTACCAAGGATTTTCTCAAAGCTGACTGATTGTAAATGAAAAAGAAATTGATTAAAATGTAGGCCAAGATGTCTACCTAATTATAAGGCCAAAAACGGAACTCAAATATATATCGAAAGTACTAATTTAATAATAAATAGACACACACATCGGAAAATTAAAAACTCGGATTTTTCTGCGCCGATTTCTATTTCCGATACACAAAGTAGTAGTCTCCCTTGTTTCATCGAAGTATCTAAATATTGCCAGTTTTTGCTACGTACGCCATACACTTAGATTAGACTTTCAGTGAGTTCTAGTACATTTCAGTTTCTTGTACTAAGACTCGACTAAGAGAGATAGTTAGTTCAACGGAACATTAGGCACTTCGGTAAAGCAAGGGAGACTACTTCAAAATTTGTTTGGGAGTTGGCGTAGGAGAATCAAAGTTTTTAATTTGCGGACTTTGATGCTTTTTATTTAATTAGGTACTTTGACATAAATTTTAATTATTGGCCTATTGTAGGTGCTTCGGTAAAGCAAGGGACACTCCTAGAAAATTTGGCTAATGCGAAGAGATAGAACCCTGACATCATTTGCATGTTTTGTCCATGGTTTCGATAGGGTCAAAACCCTGGTTCCGATAGGTCTAAACCCTGGTTCCGATAGGGTCAAAACCCAGGTTAGGGATAAGTTTAGGGTTCAGGTTAGGTTTAGGGATGGATTTAGGATTCAGGTTAGGTTTTGGGATAAATTTAGGTCATAAGTTCACCATGATAAAAAAACACAGTGCTATCTCTTCACATTTATCAAAAATGCGCAATAGTGAATAGAATCAGAGTTTTTAATTTTTTTTATGTGCATGTAATTTTAATAATACATGAGCCCTTTTGACCCATAACTAAGGTCTGACTCCGCCCATTCACATTAGGGCTTAGGAGAAATGTTGATCTACATGCCCATTGAGTTTTTTTGTTCTTTAAATCAACTTTAAGTGAGGAAAATCGTATGTCAGTATAAGGCATCTTTCCCTCAATATTTCTTTATGAAATTCAAAGATAAGGTCTTTCATATTAAAACTGGTACATCATTGCATATTGATGTGCATGTGTACCAATTTTCATTGATGTAGATAGTGTCCGATGTTCATTACGCTTGTCCTAGTAACCTGCATTATCATAAAGTCACTCAGCCTAATTTCGACATGGCGTGGGCCACACCCCCTTTTTAATGTAAATAGGAAATCTTTAATTATAACCACTATTTACATCAAAATATTTGATAAACTATGTTTTAGAATGAACTTAAATGTTATTGAAAGAATAATATTTTAATTTGGATTAAAAAAACCGGTAGACTCCATATTATAAATGATCATAATTAGCCTTGTGCAAAATGTCACGCTATGGGCGGCCTTTTACAGTCACTTACATAATGGCTATAGCATAGTTCTATCTCAGAGTTTCATTCATAAAAGTTTGCCGTGTGCAAAAGCTATTAAACCAGTGGTCAGGGAAAACTTTAATTAATTAGTCATGTGCCACAGTTGAAAGTTCAAAATAAGTAGTTCCAAACAGTATTTTAGTAATTAGGGTATTTGTTGCCTTATATAGACTATAGAGCATATATAGACCACATGAGAGTTTCGTGGTCTCTACATTAATAATAAGTAATGAAAGGACTATTGCCTATTGGCCAATTGAGACAATTCGCGCCATGATGTCATTTATGTGTTAATTTAAGAATCTGTTTTGGAGTCTCTCCCCTTTTTTATTTTTGGAGAATTATTTTTTATCTGTTATTATTAATGCGCTGAAGGAATGTTTAGTAAAATATCTTTTTTGTTGCTGTTTTTTTTCTGAGTTTCTTTTCATATAAATTTCAATTTAAAAGGTCAGCTTTCTTACCAAAGTGTGTAACTGTAGCCATAGCAGCACTTGTCTTTTTGTTGAAGGTTAGGTATAGGTAGGTACTCAAATACTCGCTTTGCGGGCAGTTGGAAGACGCGGGCTACTTGCCGCCTATCGTTGTGATCAGCTGGCGTTGACCGTTTTCAAAATAACACCAAGCTGAGTAGTGTCTGAAATTTTTCTTCCAGCCTAGTTAAGCATTGAACTATACTTACAAGGAACTAAAAATTTATTTTTATAACATTTTAGATTATCAAGTTTGAAGAGGTTCAAAATACAAGATGGGTCCTTACGGAAGAAGGAAATTCTTTTCTTCAAAATGGAAGTCATGAAGCTAGAGTGTTTTATGCAGTCCCTAAAGAAGGAATAGCTCAATCGCAACTAATGGTACTGTCTTTATTTACTAAAACATATTCTGATGGATTCATATTATTTTATATGTTATTGCAAAGAAATGTATCTCCTATACCAGTGGTTCTAAAGCTATGAGCAACTGCTTCCTTATTGGGGTGCTGCAAAATTTTTGTAAAATTTCATAATTTATTTTTTCATTTCCAAATGAATGTGGTATGACACCACTTATGGCAATGCAAACCAAAAATTCATTTGATAAGCCTTTGCAGATGGCTAGTTTTTTTATGGCACTTTTTATTTATTTCTATTTAAGACTTAAATTATTAATTTGCTATTTCAAAATGTACTTGTTTGAATTCGTGCGATTCAACAAGTGTGCCCAGAATTGAGAAAGTTAGAAATGTACAGAATAGTGAAGTCCAAAATATATTGATGAAATTTTTAGATAACTGTCTAGTAGTTACTTTTACAAATCTTTATTCTCAAAAAATTATCTGATAAATAAATTGTTGATCTTATAGGCTAATGTTCCAAATGCCAAAGTTGGGTTCAGCAAGGCCATGTCTGCAGGATGGATTAAAGTTGACAAAAGTCAAGAAGGGGGACCCAGAGTTTTAAGACAGGTATTAACTATAATTTTTCCTTCATTAAAACCACTGTTGAAACTTCCAACTAAAAAATGGAAACTTTTACGATTGTTTAACACATTTTTAAAATGTTAAATTCCCCTAAAATTGTGAACCCTATTTTGTGAATTGTGGGTTCCATTTATTCATAAACAAAATCATTTCTCTATCCTCTGACTGCTGCAAATGAATAGGTATAAAGATTAATGCAATGGAAACTCATGTATCCAAACTTTGTGGTATCAGGACTTATCTTTTTTTTACCAAGCAATGTAGAATCATGTTCTGCAAGGGATGATCACAATAATATTTCATTTGGCGCAAGGAAATATATGTCATTGCACAAGGCTTATATAGAAAACTATGATAATTGTTGATACAATTTCATGGTAGTTACTAATAAAGTTCAATACTCGGAGGTCGAGATTCCATCTCTTAGGACCTCTGGCCGCAAAACATAGCCTAGTAGTCCCTGGGGACTCCGGCCATGCAACTCGGCCTTGAGTAGCGGGGTTTTGGGAAGGTTTCTTCCACTCATGAGGGAGCAGTTTTGCGTCACAGTCCCCCTTGCCCATTGAGTCTTACGGTCGGGGCGTAGAGTTGGAACAGCTTTGCTTCCTCTCCAGAGATGGCGTTGAGTTGCCACCACCACCGCCCAGGGAGCTGTACGTTCCTTGGTGCGGGACGGCTTTGCTTCCTCTCCGGGAGTACTCACGAGCTTAACTTTCTCCCACCACTCCTGAGAGTTGTGCGAGCATTTGGTTCCCAACTAATTGTTTTACTCCGGGGAGGCGTTGCGTTGCCTCAAACCCGCTATCCGGGAGTGGTTCGGTCTGGACTGTGAAGGGTCAAAACGGCTTTACTTCCTCTCCGGGGGAGGCGTTGCGTTACCTCAACCCACTGTTCCGGGAGTGGTTCGGTCTGGACGTGGCGGGGATGAAGCGGTCGCCTAGGGGCGGCTTTCTCAGGGCCGCGTCTTTTAAATCATTGACAAGGGTTTGGGCAGCCACCCACTGCCTCATACCCATCAACGGCAACAAGTAATCATGTTAGCGCTTAAACTTCCGTTGCGTTGGAAGTCATGCGTTTTGCCTGGGATCTTTTAGCTTCAGAAGGAGAACTCCCCCCTACTAGTCAGGCAAGGATTTTCCAGAGGTCCACCCTTGCCCGCCTACATGGTAGTTACTAAAATTGTATATATGCTGTTAGTTATTGATTACCTGAAATTTGTTTTTTATTTGACATACTACACCTGGTAACAATTGGTGGGGAAAATAGAAATTCTACTCTGTATTTCATGCTTTTTGCCTTGTCTATTCTGCCTGTATGTTTATATATTATTGTTACACTTTGTTTAACAGCTGTACCTTTCAAAACCAGTGGATGTGCTCAATTTTTTTATGAACTGGATGTCTTAATCTTTATCTACAGGTTGAAAACATAGATGATTCAGTTAAAGAATGCCTAGACAAAATATCAAGATTAGGGATTAACGCTGTAACGGATTCTCAGACAAATGATTATAAAAAACGAAAATTGATTGCACAAGTGTGAGTAAATGTTTCAGGGCGCCCGGTGTTGTGTTAACAATTTTTTAAAAGTCATGCTTATTTTTATATAGCTTTAGTGTACATATAGTACATTCTTTTGGGAAAACAATGTGTATTATTTAAAATATTTGTTTGACAGGAAAGAAACCAGCTATATTGTAACAAAAGGAGAAAACTTCACAACAACAGTAAGCAAAGCTCAGATTGACCTTACCCCTGAAATGATTTCCAGTGGAAGTTGGAAGACAACAGAGTTTAAACCTTACAACTTCAAAGCGCTGGGGGTACCTGCCACCAGAGGCCACCTGCACCCTTTGTTGAAAGTCAGAGAGCAGTTTCGTCAAATCTTCCTAGAGATGGGGTATATTTACTTTTTTTAAAAATCTCATTACTTTTAAATAAATCTATTTGTTTTTACAAGCTCTGTTTTTATACTAAGTATATATAGTTTTTGTTAGTTTAAACAAAAATGTTCTTTCTGGCATATCATCTCTCTATGAGAGAAATGTTGAAAAGGGAAAAGAAATAGAGTGAATGTAAAGGGACAAAGAGAGAATAAAAGATTGAGAATAGCATAATCTTTTCACATAACCAGTCCACCACCCAAAATGATGAATTTTTCAGGTCTTGCCAGCATTTCCAATTCTTAAGGTTAAGAAATCGGCTCCACTGCTTAATCAACAGTTACTGGCTCAGACAAAGTAGCTATTGTCTGCGTTTCACTATTGCATTTTGGTAGTACTGTTTGCATCCACCTTCTGGAATCTCTAAATTTATGGCAGGCTTTGAGAGTCTTACATATTTTATGTCTTGTTACTTTTAATCCAGATTTACAGAGATGCCTACCAACAACTACGTTGAGTCTAGTTTTTGGAATTTCGATGCACTCTTCCAGCCACAGCAGCATCCTGCTAGAGATGCTCATGATACGTTCTTCCTCTTGGGTAAGTTTTGTTTGAATTTAAAGAGTAAAGAGGACACACCATATATTATTAGAAATATGCATTTGAATCACTTTGTGAGAAATCAAATGCTCAAGACATTAATTGTGTTGAAATGTCTTTATTAAAAGTTTGTGTAGCTCATTATCATAAATGCAGCAGGAGAATTTAATGGCAATCCAAGCTATCTGCATATTTTTGCATTAAACTTCCTGTGCATGTATGTGCTGTCATTTTTAAACCATATTTGTTAAAATACATTAAAAACAGAATCTGTCCAATAATCATGCATAATTACAAAGAGTAAATGAATTTGCTGATTGAGTTGTAAGTATGATTCAGTTTCTTGAGGCATTCATGACTTTAGATGCTTTGAACTCTAGAGTTTTGCCATCATTTATATTCAGAGCCAGCAACTGCCAGTGCATTCCCCATGGAATATCTGGAGCGGGTGAAAGATACCCACACCAATGGCGGCTATGGGTCACAGGGATACAAGTATGACTGGAAAGTAGAAGAAGCTGAAAAAAACATTTTGCGTACTCATACCACAGCAGTTAGTGCAAGAATGTTGTACAAACTGGCTCAGGAGGTGAGCTCTATTTTATAATTAAGAAATACAAAATGACATTTTAATTTATACTTAAACTTCAATGTTTCCATTTTAACTTATGTTTGGGAGTGAAACAGTAACAGACCTGTTTACCTTCAAACTCTTAAAATCGTACAAGATCGTCACAAAATCATTCAATACATTATCTTAATAGTAAAAAATAAACATACAGTAATTTGATGTATACACCTCAAAATCGTACATTGTATGCTAAAATTGTAAGAGTAAACAGGTCTGCAGTAATGGTAATACATTCCGCCTTTGAAGGCACTAGTATTTTCACTGTAGTGCTGTTTAAATTTTTGAATATTTCCAGATTTTGGGGGTTAAATTTGAATTTTATTTGTTACTTTATAAAAAAAACTGGACATGTGATTTAAAATTATTTTATTTTCCTAATGAAATTTTTAATACTATGAAAAGTAATTTCAAGCTTTGTAATATTATAAAAGAAATTATTGAAATTCTGCAACATTTAATTCATATCTCATATCTGCTTCCTTGTTACATTCTCCCAATAAATTTCCAAATAATTATTAATTTTTATGCTTTCAGAAGGAATTCAAACCAATAAAATATTTCTCAATTGATCGTGTGTTCCGAAATGAAAATTTGGATGCCACCCACTTAGCAGAGTTTCAGCAAATAGAAGGACTTGTAGCTGACCGTGGACTCTCCCTTGGTGACCTGATGGGCACCATCAATCAGTTCTTCAGTAAACTTGGTATGTCTTTAATTGTGTAATATTGGAAGGACTGCATTCAGGTTGAAGTAACATAACATATAGAACACGTGTTAGTTAGTGGAAAACCTGAAGAAAGACAAAACAAAACAGCGACTGTTTCAGCAGAACGCTTTCGACAGCAAAAAAGACGGAGCATGGTGTATAACAGAAAATAAAAAAATGACAGAACTTATCTGTTAGTAAGTCTGCTGCTGTTTGTGTGCCTTTCTTCAAGTTTTGCCCTACCCTGTGTGAAATATTTTTTATTGCTTTGCAGTTTTGATTTTAATATATAAAATTTCTAAGTTGTTTTAATTTACACAATGATAACTGAAATTGCTTAAAAATGTGAATGATGTTTTTTGTTTGCTCTAGGTATAACAAAGCTTCGCTTCAAACCAGCATACAACCCATACACTGAACCTAGCATGGAAATTTTCAGCTACCATGAAGGTTTGTAATCATCGACATACATAATTCTCTATGTAACAATGTCCGTCACTAATATTAAGGTTCAATAGCGCACAAAATAAAATTCCTAACTGCACCAAAAGAGGTTCTTAAAATATAGCAATTACATTAGGTGTAATATTTTCCTTTGTATTACTTTTAATACAGTTCAGGGGCGGTGACATATGGAGGAAGCACTAATTGGGAATCTTATACATTTGTTACTTAAATGCATGCTTTGTCAAGTAACTTCAATTAAAGTTGGGAAATTCATGCTTTGTGGTCACCATTATTTGGCGGGCTATAACTAGTTTAACATAATTCTATTTCTATTTACAGAAATTATCTTTTTTAATATATTTTTTCATGTCACACCTCACTCCTCTTGTAGGTAGATTGTATTCAGTGCAGTATTGTCATACACAAAACTATCATATTAATGCTTCTAAAAAGTTAACATTTCCTGACTAGTGCTATCTCTTTGTTCAAAAAAAAAAAGGATTCTACTATTCTGTGAATGTCTTGCTACAAACTAATTTTCAGGGACAACAAAAAACTCAAAGATTTTCAAAATTGAAAACAAAATTTATGATGCAAAAGTTTCCATTTATTTGGATAAAAAAAATCATCCTATCTTTTCTTATTATTGCCATAATTTAAGCTATTTCACTAGACACCTTTGTAGTCTGGTATAATTGGCTACCTATACCTCATTTTATAATAAACTTCAAAACTCCATTTCCTTCTAAAAAATCTATTTACTTGTCTGTATTTTAGGTACTAATTCTAACATTCTCTCTAAAGGTTTAAAGAAATGGGTAGAAGTTGGAAATTCTGGGGTGTTCCGCCCAGAAATGCTATTGCCCATGGGCTTTCCCAATGATGTTTCTGTCATAGCTTGGGGACTTTCTTTAGAGAGGTAACTTACCTTACTTTCAAATTCTGCAATATTATGCTTTCATTAAGTAATTTCTTATAATATATATATAAATAACATGACAACAAAATATTTGGATTAACTTGCATGTATAAAATAACTCTTCAATGAATTTGGTGACAAATGTATATAGCTAAAGATTTTCACTCAATTAATTTTTTTATTGAAGGAAGTGTTAGTACAAAGTTAAATTTATTTTCAGGCCAACTATGATCAAGTATAAAGTGGACAACATTAGAGATCTGGTTGGACCCAAAGTCAATTTGAAAATGGTTTATGATAACCCATTATGTCGTCTAGAGAAATAGTGAACTCTCTTTAATTTTTATGTGGTCTTCTTTAGTGAGGCTGAAGTGAAAGAAAGTAATACTTCCCTGTGTGTGGTTGTTTTGAAAGGAGATTTAGGTATTTTATTTATAGTTTTCAGCACTGACTACATTTGAGTTTTTCTCAATGAATAATTAAGCTAACTTATTTAGTCTTATCTTTCACACTGGGCTAAAAATATTTAGAGCTTCTTACACACTAGCAAAACAGTAAATATGTTGGATTATGCTCCTACTCCTAATTAATCTAGGTACAGTAAGAAGAAGAATTACTTATGGAAACTGTATCACTGCTAGAACATAAACATATGTGGTTATAACACATATATGCATCTATGTCATTGAAATTAGTAAGACCAAAAAAAATGTGCAAGTTATTTAGATATGCTGCAGTCCAGTGTTTTTATTTATGCAAGTTATTTACTCCACCCACCTCCAAAAAAAAAATAAAGAACATTTATTAAAGAAAAGCAGTTGACTTATGAAAATTCTTATGTTAAAATGCTTTTAAAAAAAATTTCATTATGACAACAGAAATGTGCAGTAGTGCATTTACTTTTGTGATTGAGCTGTGATTCGCTAATCATTATAACAATGCAGAAGAAAAAAATACTTTTAGGTTAAAAACTTATTACAATAGACTATGATGAAACTTGCACTCCCATAAACAAAACGTCTCTGTAACTCTCTAATCACATCAAATAGGTTCTTTTAATTATTCAGGTGGCACTAAAAACCAAATAATATAAAAACACTAGGTTGAATCATGTGACAGAAAATGCACTTTCCGCTAATGCGAATTTTGAAATATTTTTACAGTACACGAAAAAGCACTGTATTTCCCTAAATTTGAAAAAATTCATTTTTTTTAAAAATCGGACTTATATGTTAAGAGAAGCAATGAAAAATGTCTGTCTTTTTAAATATTCGAAGATATAGTTTTTAAATGGTATTGGTATCCCAAGGCAAAGATTATAAATGTACTTAAGAATGAAAAAAAAGTAAGAGTTATTATCTTTATTTTTTTTTTCCTTAGAATTAGAAGTGATATATTAGTCTAGAAGTTTACACTATAAAATTTATATACATTTTCATACCGAAAGTAACATAATCCTTGCACAATTTTAACCAATTTAGAGTTAGAGATATCTTATTATTTTATTTTAAAAGTGTGTGAATTCTATGATCCGACGACCTAAGGTGATTTGGTTGATTTGTGTTATAACTAGTCTTTAGTAAAAATTAACAATAAACCAATCTTATGTTATGACTATACTCTCAGCCCTGTGAGAGCATGTTTTTAATTAACTAAATTTTGTGTTCTCTGTGTTTGAGTATTAGTTATGTCCCCTTTAATTTTCATGTCATTCTATGATTTGATGGATGCTGATTTCCAAACTGTTCAACCTTGTGCTATTAAATGATCCTGGTCAATTATGTTAATGAGCAATAAACTATTTTTAATTACTGTTAAAGACTTGTGTATTTTACAATTTCTGTGAATCATTGTGTGTTTGGTGTTTAGACAGTAAGCTCAGAAATGTTATGTATCGATAATTAGATCATGAATTGGGGGCAGCAGAATTTATGTAGAGAGATAAAGTAAAGAATTAATGTATAACACTAGGACAACTTCTGAGTAGCTTTATGCAACAAACTTGGTTTGACCAAAAAATAAAATAATTTGATTTAGACAGTGAACTAGTAATAGCAAACAATTTTTTAATACTAAGTGATTTAAAAAATCATCAAACTATAATACAATACTTATAAGTCACCAGGAGACAAGAAATGTGATGAGGATGACAAACCTTACTAGAAAGTGTATTCTGTATTGAGAGGCAACTTCAAGTTAGCACAACCTGCTTGCAGACATCAAAGAGTCACATTGGGACACCTTAATAAATATCTCTGGCACTAATTGAACAACTATTTAACAAGAAGTCTTTTGCACGATATAACCAGTGAACATGAATCTATTGTAATTTATTGTATAATTTTTGTACGTAAGGATGTGACCCTGAACATGGTTCAGCATAGCTTTATCTCAATGTGGCAAAATAAAAAATAAATATTAGCATATTTGAATTTTTTTTAACTGTCATTGTAGTATTAAATATTTTCTTCGAGTAATAATTAAAAAAAAAACACATTTTACATGGTGGTTGAATTTAATGAAGTATTGCCAGCATTTTTCACACATCATTTAACGTTTGAAAACAATAGTTTCATACATTTTACAAATGCACCTCACACTTACATACAACTCATATAAAAAAATTTTTTTACAACAAACAAATTCATTTCTTTTTTTACAACTCATTCAGGCCTATGTACAAAATTAATACAAAATAACTTGCATACATTTTTTTCACAATCCAGCTCTAAACTTATTGACGAAAAAAATTGACACAGACAATTTTGGTATGTGTCCACTATTTTTTCATCAATACATTAGCAAACATATAAATCTAACGACTCAAAGAGTTTTGACATCAGTCATTCATTCTGCCGCCCCCTCCCCTATCGTAAGTTATTTTACTTTCTTTCCCATCCAAAATTTGGCCTTGGGTTTGTCAAGGAGTGTGCCAGCAGCTCTTTTAAGTTTTCTTCTCTCAGACTGGTGAATATTCCTCTCTTCAACTGCCTTATTTATTTTCTTTTCCTATAAACAAATGTTTAATCATTAAAAAAAAACATGTATATGTTTTGCAATTCAATAATTAGATTTTAAGAAATGAAAAATACTATCTCCCATGTGTAAATGCAATAAGTTAAAGAAGGTGAAAGGCAAATTCTGAATGGAAAAAAATACCTTTCTCAGTGAAAATGTCATCTCTCTGTTTCCCAGTGATCCACCAACATAAGTGACCTTATCTTTGTCTAAAGATTGGAGTCTCTCAGCCAAAGGTTTTCTAAATGAATACAAACATAATTTATAAAACAAACCTATCCAAACTATAATTTTAATACAAGCTGGTAAATATCAATCAATTTGGAATTTATTTATTGTTTTCAAATGTTAATTTTAAAAAAATTAAGCACTCCTATCAGCAAGGCAGCAGATTTCAATTTGTTTAGTTATAAAATTGAGCCAATTGGGTTTCAACCAAATCTCCTTCAGGTCTAAAAGTAGTCTGAGAATAAATGTTGAGTGGCATTAAACTGTTTCAATTTTTTTTTTTATTCAAAATATTTAATTCATTAATACAAATGTATCAAATCAGCTACTCACTTTGAATCTTTTTTCTTATTGGGGTCACTCTTGACGCCAATCTCTTCTCCATCCTTAATTTCAAAAAGCCTGGCTTTCCTCCTTTCCTCCCTATCCTGTGCCTGCTCCAGGGCTTTTCTTTCTCTTGTCACCTTTTGATGCTCTTGTCTGACTTCTTGAGCCCATGTATGTTCATCTTCTGAGCTGCTGCTTCCCTCTTCATCACTTGGACGTCCTTCTGGCTCATCTTCACCCTAATGATCAAATGAAGAACAAAATCAGTAAAGGGATCAGAGGGGTTTTTTAAATCTGTTATTAAATTCTAATTGCTTTTAAGAAATGTGTGTGAAGTTATCCTGACAACTTCAAAATGTAACTGGGTTATTAGCTTGCTGTCAGTTCTTTTTAAGAATTGATTATTTCTTGACACGTAAGACTAAATATTAACTGAAGGATTGATGGAATGTAACATTACCTCCACAGCTTTAAACTGTTTGGTGAGAGAGTATTTCTCCTCTCGTTTTTTTCTGGCTTTGTCGAGTTTTGACATGACTGGATTAATAAGTCTAAACTCCTCAGACTCTGGGTCAATTTGGAAATCAGGATTGCTGAACATTGCAGAGAAACGGTCATCCTTAAGTATACCTTTAACAGCTTTGTTCTGAAAGCACACAGAAAAACAGTTACACTACATTTATTTTGTCTAGAGCATTTGCCTTCGTAAATATAAAAATACTTCCTTACAATTGATGCCAACAAACTATGATTATTTTTTTTCACCTTTTAACAATTAACCAACATGAATGAAAGAGGAATGTTTTTTTGTCTATCCAACATTTCACCATTTTGGCATTGCGGAAAAAGAATCCATAAAAAATAATTTGTTATATATTATATATATATTTACATCATATTAATTATAAAGGCCTTTTCATTCTAATCATTCATAGTTACCTAAATAAACACAAAATGTGCAAATAAATATATAAAATATCAATTATTTGTATTTTTTATAAAAATGGTCACAAAAACTAAAGTATTACCTCTCTCTTTCTTGGATTTGCTTTCTGGGCTTCATCTTCATCCATAAGTTTCTGTGCCAACTCTCTGTTCACAGTTGGGAGTTTCTGTGTTTGAAGTGAATGTTTATAATTAAAATAAAGTATCTCAATTTATATGCAAGTTTAACATATTTAAAAATAAAAGAAAGATTTTATGTATCCATTTTTTAAAATAAATTTGGTAAAACCTTTAATGAAAGTTTAAAACTGGAAAAGATCCCAGAGCTATATTTTTTTAATGAGTAAGTTATTGTTTTACTAAACTATAAAAGCCCAACAGTCAATTTGTAAATTAAATGTATTTTGTTAGAAAAAAAATAAAAATAGAAGACACATCCTACCTTGAGTTGGACTCTGTTAGTTCTTTCCTGTTCAATCTTCTCCCTGACCTTTGACTTTCTGTACTTTTCATAAGCAAATGGATCTGCAATTGCTTTAGCCTGAAATAAATAAATAAGTTCAATTATTCTGTAAGGTCCAACTTAAAATTATTAAAAGACATACTAATAAAATATTAAGTAGAAAATATATTAATTTTTTTATGTGTAGCCATGTGGTGAGTGGTGGCATGGGTAAGCAATACTGTTTTAAATTTAGTTTACAAAACCAAGGTGTTATTTTGAGAGTATAGTAACCAGAAATAGAACAAGAAAAATGGGGAAGAAAATCTGAAGAAAATAGAAAATATCTGAAAAGATCATATATAGTATAATTTATTTAAAGTGACAAACATTTAAGTAAATATAACCAGTGATAAAAAGGGTGGATAACTCTGGACTCTGGATAATGAATGTTTTACAAGTTATTCAAAGTATGATTAATATTCACTTAACAAGGGATAAATCTAGATTTAACAGATTATTCAATTGGAGATAACAATATTTTTCATAAAGACCCATATTCTTTTTGGATTGTTAAGTTGAACAGCAATAATGTTTATTAGAAAAGTAGACCCACCATGAATATCCAAGGGACCAAAAACAATCATATTTAATTATTAGAGAAGTTATTCTGTGGTGTTTAGTTTATGGGATATGCACACAGTTCTGCGTTTCAAATCATGTGAGATGGGAGGGCGTCCAGTACAAAATCAATATATTTATGTTCGCAATTATCTCATACCTATTTTTACAACAAAGACCCCAAGGTACTCGATGATCGAGTTAACCTACAATTCCAGATACTTGGCTATTACTATTATAATGTCATGCATGAAGGTCTTTATAAGACAACCACATGATAGTGTTTTTACTATAATGATATGACTGTTAGGATTATACAAGCACATACCAGATTGATGAAAGCCTGAGCACAACGCAGTATGTTCATCTCAACACTACAAACCATAATTGCTAATTTAATACTGGTGTACATAATATGTTTATTTGATATTTAGAGCATTTCCAGCATTTGTAACCAAAATGATTTTATTCATAGCTCTTAGTTGTGAATGCATGTATATGTTGGTCTATACAAGATATGGCACACAGCAACACAGTCATATGTGTAAATAAGGTGATATCATTGTTAAGGAGTACATTCAAAGAGCTTTACAAGTAATTAAATTAAAACACTACTTAACATGTTCATTAATAAAAAGTAATCATCAATCACAAACATATAATAAAATGAACTCCACACAATAACAATATAACATTCATTTTACCAATGAAGCCGACAGATAGACCAGTGAAATGACTAGAAATTTATTTCACAAATCCAAGTTGTTCAGTTGAGAACTATAGCTTTTTATTTGTTTTGAGAATATGGTAACCAGAAATAGAAAAACAAAGAAAAGCCAAATGAAAAGCTGAATAAAAATGACAAAATGAAGCTGTGAGATAGACCTGTGAAATGAACTAATGCTGATAGCTACAATTCATCTTCTTTATCAATTCAAAAATCAGATGGTCGTATGGGACATACAAGGGAACAATGACATCAGCGTCACGTTAGATACGGGATGGTAATTTGTCATTCATCAGTGATAAACAAAAGGTTAGGGCCCAGCACACAGCATTGTGCTGCTTTTAATTTCAGTGGGTGTGTAAATGTTAGAGTATAGCCTGGGGTTTACCCACAGCTATCAAACTATTAATAGCAACTTGCCACATATGTAATACAAATATTGGTTCCTTATGTGAATTTTTATCCATTTACACTCAAATTAATTAATTTAGCTATATGTGACGTTATTGATGGGTTTCGACAGAAAATTCACTTAATGAATAACCTTCATATCAATCTAATACTCTTATAATTTTTACATACTTTAGATTAGTCAAATTTTCAGATCATATTTTGTGTAATATTCTAATGCACTTAAGATTACAAATCAAATTATTTTTGTAGAGATCACAAGAAATGTACTGTTGAAACACATTGCAGCCTGATTTTAACTTGAAACATATTCACCTTGTGATAAAGTCGAACGTCAATAAAGAATCCATGCATGACAGATCTCAACAGGTTGGTCCCAATCAGATGTTCTAATCCCAGCTCTTCCAGCTCAGTACGAGTGACAAACTTGTAATCATCATATACTGGGTGTTGTGAATTTAGAAATATAAGTTATAATGTGGGGTCAACTTGTGTTAATAAACTTCCAGGATTAAATTCTGTAATGTAACCATTTTCCTAACTGGTGTCAAAGTATTTATTTCAGTCTTTCTACAGAACCCCATATTTTTTATTAAGCTCCATAAGCTACTAAATTTCAATTTATATAATGTACTAGAAATTAAATTGTATTAAATGTTGCATGAATATTTTATAATCTACACAACAACACACCTGAACTCTCTGCTTTCTCTTCCAGTTCTTCTGTCATACTGTCTAAGCTGCTACACCAACGAGGGGCTGGACCTAAAGTCTTGATTAGAAATTATAGACAGTTAGCATTAAGAATCAAACTACTGAGCCACAAGTGATATAATTTTCTTTTTCTTGGTCAGCCTAACTTTTGGTCACTAATATCGCCCAGAATAAAGTGCATAATCTGCTAAAATGTTTTGAAAAGTTAAAACTTGAATTCAAATTTTAGGTCTAGTGTTTTTTTTAATATTTGTACAGTTGTTCATTAAAATTTTTAAAAGTTATAATAGGCCATGGGAACTTCAAAATTAAGAAGCTAAGAACTCACAGGTATGAAGTAGGTAAGAATCTTTGGGGCTTCATTGGCCAAGAATATGATGCCCGAATTAGGAAACACACACAATCGATTAAGATTCACTCCTGGTTCTATGGCAGTTAAGGGCTTCCCCTGAAATGTGAACAATGTTTAGCCAGTTTTAGAGTACACCTGGAATAAACACTCAAGTTTAAAAGACTATATAAATTTTATATAAAATTTTCAACAAACACAGACTTGAACTCACATTATTTCTGTTCCATAATTTTAGAATTTTGGTATCCATCGACAAAACCAGATCTTGGGAGTCTTGAAACTCAATGGATCTTATTGGCAGCTCATAGTTATGGTCTTTCACAATAAAAGGTTTCATGGCCCGTAAGTCGTACAGTAACACCTTTTATATTATTACAGGGAAGGATAAACAGTCATAAAAAAAAATTGAAATAACAAATAAATAATATAAATATGTTTACTCATCTCAGTACAAAATCTTAACAGGTTAAAACAATCTTTAGCTAAAGGCAATAGAAAGTTCTTGAATAAATTTATTTGTTCAGTCCACTGCACCTTATTATTTTATTGTGTACATAATCTAATTATGCATTTTAAACTCAAAGCCATCCATTTCCTTTATAGCATTAACAATAAATCTAACAGAAACAATTGATGTGAGTCAGAATATTACCCAAACTAAGCAGACATTTAATTGTCTAATATTTCCTATATGGGAAAAATGATTACTCACATGGCCTGTGCTTGTTCCTAGCCCAACAGTGAGGCCATCACCTCTAAATTTCATTGCTGTAATTTCTGGAACTATTTTAACACTGGAAGACAAGGGGAGATTATTATACTGATATTGTCAACAATTAATGTTTCCTTCCCATAGTATAAAACATGTAGAGTATCCATCTTAAGAGATGATTAATGATATTGTGACGATTTGAGGCTGGACTTAGTAAAATTTTTTCCACTTGGAAACCCTTTTAAAAGAATACCTTTCCCTCCCCTCAAGTCTCCCCGCCGTTGCATAACCCATTGATTTCCTTTGGTGTTTTCGCATTCTTACACCAGGCTGCTCACCCCAAAAGCATGCATTTTGTGTTCAACCCCTCTCAGCGATGAACCTTGAGAAAATAATACTGTGCCTCCCCTCAGTATTGCCCTGGAGGCAGCAAAGCGGAGTAACGTCCCTTGTTGTTATTGCATTTATGCATCAGAAAACTCACGTCAAAGCGCGAATTTGGATTAGTACTTCATTAGCGTGATCATTAACTGCGACTGTTACCTAGAGTACTAGTAAGTACGCAACCATGATTTTGATATTATGGTATTGCACTTGTATTGTTCATATAACTATGTAGCAAAGATTCGATTGTGTTTGATCTTATTCTAACAATGCCTATATTACATTATATTGATATTATGCATTCTATTATTGCTTTTGCCACAGGCTACGACATGCCGCCATCCCATCATGGGGATGGTAGGTTGTTCCTAATCGCCCATGGCTCTTTTAACGAGAAGACAATATGTATACTATTTACCGGTAAATTTAATGGTTGTTAATGATACAATGTCCCATACTTCATTAATTAAATTATGCTTGCTTGGTCCAACATTGTCGTGAAGCAACATATGCTTACACCGACAATGATCAGACTTATAAATCCATCCAAAAATTGGATGTATATTTACAAGCTATGTCACCTTCCAAACATCTATCTGAATTTGTTGTTGTTGGGACTTGTCAGCTTATGACTAGTCGCCTGGATACTTATCCACTTTGTATAATTTTGCCTTTAGCCTGGTTTCTATTACTGGACCAACTGACCTTGAAGCTGGAACTAGGTGATTGATTTAGGTCCCACACCAAACTACCTGACAGCTACTAGAAGGACTTCGAGATCCAGGGACTCTTACTACCACGATTTATTGCTGGAGAGTCACCTTCCCCATCGCAGAGATCTCACGGAATCTACGACCGGGAACTCCGACTTCGCTACGTTTAGAACAGCTCCGAAGACCAGAACAGGGACACGCTTCTGGAACAGAAGGAACTCCCACACTTTGAGAACTAGAACTTTAAAGGCTAAGTCCACCAAGATTGAACATAGAACCTTGAGCAATTTAGCATTTATAATGATGATACCGTCAGTATGTTAGGGACACTTGCTTTGCATTGATATACCTTTCTAATTGGATGAAATCCATTTGATGTATATATATTAAGAACCAAGAGTGTTTTACGGAGGAATTTGTAAATATTATTATTCAATAAATTATTTTAGTTATTTTCTCCTTTAACAAAGACTTCGTTTCAGTCTGTACTATATGTATATAGATATGTTATTATGTCTGTGTGGTAATTTGGCTTAATTAATGAATCCCTAGACAGAGTGCCATACGAGAGATACCCCTCACTAATATATCATAAGTCAGATCACCACATATATAGTTACAAACTGCGTTTCCATATCACTTTCAAAATAAATAGTATGAATTACAATCAGTAAACATCAACTCTGACCTCCTCTTAACACACTACATTAACACAGAATGAAATTTTTTTTAAATGTTGAGACATTCCTTTTTCAAAAACACTCCCACACCTCCCTCCTGTGCTGTTTTATGTTAACTGATTAACTTCATAGTTAGAGAATACAACTTAACATTCAATGAATTTAAATCTTACAAAAGAAAAAATGTCAAAGATCTATGTAATTATCATGAAAATGTTTGTCTAACTGAAGAAGAATATTTTCATGTTTAACATTAACGTAAATTAAAGCAGCACTTACTCGTAATCTTGTACAAAATTGCTTATCGCAACATCTAAGATACCAGCTCTCGTTCTTGATCTGGGGTCCCAACATTCCAAATGACCTAATTTTGACCCACATCCAAAAAGATGGTTCACCGGATTAAATTCACAGCAGTTCAACTCTCTGAAAAATCCGTATTTATTTTATTTAACATTTGTTCTTTAAAATCAACAAACTATAAACAAACTGCTTAGGCCTACTCAAGCATATTAAAAAAAAATAATGAAAAAAATTGACTCTTGATAAAAAATTCAAAACAACCAAATTTCTTAGACAAAAAGCATGTGAATTATTATTTATGCACAACACATAAGTTGATATGTGCCGCTATGATTTTCAATTTAACTGATCAAAATATCAAGTACCGTTTAACTAACCTGGAAATATATATATATAAATTATGGAAATATCCATTATGCCTTAAATTTGATTCAGTTAAAAAACATGCTACTTAAAGTTAACCCTCACGTTGCATTTGATTGAAGAGGTTTCATGAATCTCCCTTTCTCCAAGTTGATTCTGTAAATCTCTGAACTGCAATGATTAATTACGAAAATGGTTTCTACTAAATTTTTGTGGAATAATCATGAATTTAAGAAATCTTAAAGATTAATTTTTTAAAAGAAAAACTTTACAGATAAATGAAGTCAGATTCCACTTTTGTTTACACAATATTTCTACATTTTGTGCTATGCTTACAGTTTTTTTAAAAAAAGGCAAATTTTGAAAATTAGCAAATCTCAACTTTCACAGTTTGGATCAACTTAGAATTTACATTTATGAAATAAAATATATAATCAAATTCTACCAAACAGTCTGAATAAATTGTCTTAATAAATTCTCATGACCATGCACAAATGGAGGCAATTCTGTATTCGGATTTTACACATGTAATTTTTTTGAAAGTGCTTTATTGTAACATAGTCCTATTCCTAAAAATATATTTTAATTACCTGACCCCAACAAAATACATATCACAAGAAGGGGAGTAATAAGATAGATCACGTCCATATTTGGGAATTCTCATACGTAAGAGACGACCAAACTGAGAGTGAAATTCAACATATCGGTCATCTTGCAGAAAGCAAATCTGAAAGTAAAAGTAATCTTGCCAAATAATGTAACACTGAATGATAAGTAAATCATGTAAGTAATCAAAACTTTTTTTAGGACTTTTGTTTACCTTGTCTTAAATTTAAGATGTGTCCTTTTTTAATAAAAATGCATAGCAATATATTATTGAATAATTAAATTTCACTTTTTCATTACATGTAAAGGTATTCAACATCTAAGTCTGATCAGTAAACAATATTTAAGTATCAGAATAAATCCTTACTCCCTTATCCACCATTATCGCAGATAACAGGCCAAATTCAAAGACTTTTTAATCAGGTCTTACATAAATTGCTTAAACATCAAACAAAGTAGGTTCTTACTTTGCTGTAGTCGTCTGAGAGGAATTGAAAATTAACAACACTGGAGTCTAAGCCATGCTCAAACTTAAGACACAGCTCATGAACATCATAGCACCTAAACCTTGGTTTGTATGTACCTAAAAGGAATGTATTTGTATAAAGGCATCAAGATAATATCTTGGGCTACTGGTTTTTGGATTAGTTATATTCTTACAAACATACTAATGGTACACATTCATACCTTTAACATTCAATTTCATATCAAAATGGAACCTATGTTTGTGATTCAAGAAAATTTAAGTTCATATATGACTACACTAATTAAAAACCCACAAAACTAACAAGCTGTACAATTAGTGTACAGTTTACCTGTTGCACAAATAAATTGTTCATCAGGTGAGACTTTTACACAATCACTGACACTTGGCATTTCAAAATCCTGGATAAGTTCCAGGCGACGACGAACATCTGGAGAATATAATTTTTATTCATTACATTTTAAGATTATGTGAGAACCTCATAATCATGAGCAGTATTTTTTTAAACAGATATTAAACTACAATTCATGACGTAAATGCTCCTCATCATTTATTTATGATATATATTTTTTTCAAAATCTTAAGTTAATCTACTGTTTTAAAAATGCAAGTTCATTTCAATAAGGTACAAAAACTATATTAACCATCATCTTTGTTTTGGAGCTTTCTTCTTTGTCTCTCTGTAAGCCACTGAAAAAGGAAGCAATAGAATATTTTGGTTAAAAAAAATCATAATTTTAAAACCAAAGTCAAGATCTACAAAAAATTTAATACAGACCAACGAGCTAGACATAAGACGATGATTAGTCCGTGACCATGCAAGGGCTGAGTAAGCAAGTGGCTATTCTAGGTAATTAATTAATAAAATAGACCCCAAAAAAATCAATAATTTTATAACCTGATAAGATTTAACCCACATATTGGTAACCAGATTCATTTTCTCAAGTTTCTTTTTTTTTTTTCTTCAGAATCCGGCCATGGTTTATCATTAATTAATTTAATCAGGGTTCAGGGCAGCATGATATTAGCTATTTTATTTTTTTGGAGACGAATGCCATTGTTTATAGATGGTCCCTTAATCTAATTATAAACAATGCATATATTGACCAAAAGTTGGGTGTATGATAAAGGCAATAAATTGATAGTAATGTAGGCCAATGTGCCCAAAAGAGAATGTGCAGAAAGATACCATAATTTTTTTATGAAAACCTAAATTTGGCATGGCATAGGTGCTGGGAAACAAACATTTTAGAACCACTGACATAGCCCAACAAATTAGGGTTATATGTCACATCACATTGAACATACAGTGGACTAAATATAACCGTAATAATATCTTTACTACTGGGTAAAGCTAGCGACTTCGTTTGAGTTTGTGAAAATATATATAATATGGCAACATCACAAACATAATTTCTACTAAACATTAGGTGATACTGCATTAGAATTAGAGATATAAAAATGCTATTTTTGGCCTTTCAGGATAAATATTGAAGAATTTTTGCTGAATAGGTCGAGACCACCACCCACCTATCATTACAAAAATATGGCTGTGTTAATTTTATAGACTAGACTGAAATATTTAGACTCCCCCCCCCCCCGCGCCCACACAAAATATAAATAAATCAACACCGATAAATATTTAAGAATTTTTGCTGAATAGGTCGAGACCACCACCCACCTATCATTACAAAAATATGGCCGTGTTAATTTTATAGACTAGACTGAAATATTTAGACTCCCCCCCCCCCGCGCCCACACAAAATCTAAATAAATTAACACCACTTCAACACTTCTTTTGCCTCTCAGGCTCAGTGTAATCTAATTATAGATGGATGGTCAGCAATAGCAAACAATCAAAAATGTATATATTTTAAAATAAACATTCAACTGACTTTCTTAAAATCATAGTTCTTATAAAATCGTACATAGTATAGTGTAACATAGTACGCCAAAATCATAAGAGTAAACAGTAGACAGGTCTAGAACAACAGTCTGGCATACCTGATTCAATCAAGTGATTGTTCATTGTTAGTGCTACATTAGAACTAAATTAGAGTCAACACCAGGGCTAGGGGCAGGGGCACTTTCTGACTGACATTACCTCTGGCAGTGATTTTCCTGCACTCAAGTTATAAATCTTGACGTTATTGGCATAAGAAACTTGCATCTTTGAGTCTAATGTTTTTAATTTATCACAACATGCCCATGCCTCTATGCTTAGCAAATTTTGCTTTTGAGAGTCGCGCCCCTTTAAATTAGGTTTAACTGCACTTTCATCTTAAAGAGTTACAATTTTTTATGAGTCAGAGTCGTTATTTTCAAGGGCTATCTGCTTAAAACATGTTAAAATTATAATTTTAAAAAAAACAACAACAACAATAACTAAAAACAAAGTTTTAGGTAAAAATTCTTAACAAAATTTAATATTGAGCAATGAGGGATGGGGCTGAAAATTTAACAAAACATGCATACAAGTAACGTACTTAATTTAAGAACCCAAATTAGTGTCAGCGTCCCCCCCCCCCCCGCCCTCCCAGGCTCAAAGCCACACATTTTTTTTTTCATGCCACTGTAATATATTAATATTCTAATGATCCACCCATCGTTACACGCAGATTTATTTCACCAACAAATTCAGAATAGCAAAAGAAAATCTCATGCATTAAACACTTTTGCGATATTTTTCTTTAAGAATAACATTTAGCCCAGGAATTATATGTATGATTTTTTTATGTGTTACGTCACACGGGATCTTTACACCTCCACCCCCAATGACACAAACTGTCACACTTTCTTAGACACCCCCCCCCCTCCCGGTGGGCTTACTTTATGGACGAAAAAATAAAGAAATAAACCAATTATACAAAATATTGAAAACCACGCGTAATCTGAAATTTTTAGCCTACATCAATTCCAAAATATGCTTCTTCTTTACTGCGCAATAAGGAATATTTATTTTACTTGTAAGAGTTGTCACTCGAATTTTGCTTTCATTTGGTTTAAAATTCAATGGAAGCATACATATCGTACAACACCGTTTTTGTCCCCTTATTTCCGTTATTCAAATATAGCACTAACTAAATATAGTATCGATTTTTTTTTAATTACACTTAAAACACCACCTTATAGCCATTTAATTCGTAAATGATCTTTGAAATTTGTCAAAATTTAAGGGTAACTTGTAAAGAAATTTGACTGATAGAAACTGAAGATGGATTATAATAATATTTAATATACTTAATAGCTTTAAAAGTTCAAACTCCAAAAGGCTCAAAGTAGTTAGTATCGCCATACTTTTCCAATACACTACTTAGCCCACTCTACTAATATTCCCTGTAGCTGATCCTGCGTACTGTCATGGCGTCGATTGCTAGTTTTATTGTCTATTGAACCGGCATTTAGTTTGCATTAAAGCGTTTCTTTTGTGGTTTTGAATTTATCATTAAATGTTTTGACCTTTAAAACTTAATCATTGCACACAAATCACGTCACGCGATGTCCGACAAACTGGATACTCGCGTGATTCAAGTTACAAATGTTGCACCCAGTTGCACAAATGAGCAGATGAGAACTCTGTTCAGTTATTTGGGACGAGTGAAAGAACTTAAAATGTACCCACCAGAGTGAGTATATTTTTTTTGTATTCCACTTTATATATTTACTTCAGCACATATATGAATAATCCAAGACAAAATTCCGACCAGGGATCCAGTCCCTGACTGAAAAACTGAAAAGAAAGGAGAGGTTGGATTTATTTTTAAAAAAATAAAATATATTGTTGTTGGGTTTTTAGGAAAAAATTTGGTATCAAATGAAAGGTAATTGAATGGACTATAGACAATATGTTTATAAACTTACTTCGTCTTCAGTTTAACTAAAATAAACTTCCACAAATGACATCCGAATAGCATTTAGTCTTAGTCTGAAGTAGGGACGAGGGTCCGAATAGCAGCAAATAATTCAGACCAGGGTCCCTTAAGATGTTAATTTGAGTCATGCTGTGGTGTAATACTAGTATTAGATATACAGATCGGTATCCTTCCGTCTCGTGAGACGATGGTGCATCACCGTTAGGTTGGGTTGCATTTTCTCGAGTGGCTGTGCAGTCCTATCCTTGAGTGACAGTCTTTACCACAGTTTTTACACACGAGTTCCGTGCTTCTAAATGTTTTGGCCTTTCTCTTAGCTCTTCTGTCTGCAGCCTCTTCCATTCTTCGCTCCTCGGCTACCATGACGCCCTCTTTGACAACTGTGCGCCATGTAGATCGGTCTTTTGCCTTACACTCCCAGTCACTTGTATGTATTTTGGCTGCTTTCATGTCCCTTTGACAGACATCTTTAAATCGCAGACGTGGGCGACCTGTTTTCCTCTTTCCCGAAGCAAGTTCACCATATAGGAGGTCTTTCGGAATGCGGCCGGGACTCATTCTTTTAACATGCCCTAGCCATCTCAGGCGTCTTTCACTAAGGATTGTGAACATGCTTTGGGTATTCGCACGCATTAGGACCTCACTTAGTCACTTTTTCTTGCCATTTAATACCAAGGATGCGACGCAGGCATCTCAAATGGAAGCTATTAAGCTTGCGCTCTTGGGATGTATAGGTGGTCCATATCTCGCTCTCGTATAGTAGTGTACTGATAACACAAGTATTAGATATAATTGCTAATGAAGCTATGCATTGTTAGTGATATTAAATATATGTATGATACATATTCAATTGTTTAATAGAAATTATAAAAAAACACTTAGAAACTTTCCACTTTCCATAGACCTATCCTGTGTCTAATATTCCCAATGTTTGGTTTGTGCCATTAAACTACACTCATTTAGTTTTTGGTTTCGAGGACATCCATAATGACATCATTCTTCTAGGAGATGAGTGATAACGATGGTCTCTTATTTGTGATAATGCATTGAGGGTTTCTAAATTATGTGATGGTGAGGAAGGGAAAAAATCAGCCAAAATTGCATGATGTCATTATTGGATTGCCCCTTCAGGGAGAACATATTCCTATTTGTGTTTCCTTAAACTTAGACCTGTTCAGACCTGTTTACCCTCAAACTCTTCAAATCGTACAATATCATCACAAAATCGTTTAAAACATTATCTTAATTGTAAAATAATAAACCTACAGTATAAACATGTACACACCTTAAAATCGTACATTGTACGCCAAAATCGTAAGAGTAAACAGGTCTGCCTGTTGCACTTAAGCCTGTTTCTATGACTCAGTTCAAATATTCATTTAAAATAAAAAAGTTGCTTGTAAATTAATTCTCCAAAGATTTTTTTCATTTAGCATTTTGATATCAACCAGTTCCACCTAATTGCGGACCAGGAATGCATGTAAATTTTAAAAATCTGTGATTAGCTAAATCGTGGATTTTAAGTCAAAATTAGATAAATTATATAATTATTAAAATATATATATAATCAAATTTAATTTTATTCATCATAACAAAAAAAATGTTAACAAATATTCTTTTAAGTTTAAGGAAATAACACAGATGGCTAACGTTAGCAGTTAAAACCATGACAGCTATGCAATTTATCATTTCCTTTGTTTTAGAAATTTAAATAATAAAGGCCTGGGTATGAATTATCAAAATTTATGTTGAGTGTCTAACCCATTTGAAGCTAAAAATATATCAAATAAATACTTAATTCTAGTTGTGTGATCAAAATGATTTTAAAGGCAGTTAATGTTATTTAAATCCTATAGAAACACTGAAGGCGTTGTAGCAAGAGTTGCTTACATTGAATTTGATGAGTCTATCACTACTGGAGTGGCTCTTCATCTTAGTGGAACAGTCTTCATAGATCGAGCTCTGATGGTTGTTCCTGTCATGGATGGTAAAAGTATTACTGTGCTTCTTTCATACATATTTAAAGTAATTGTTAACCATTCAGTCTACACTGTTTTAAAACATATGTTACATACATTTCAATAAATAGCAAAATTGCTAATTTCTATACAATGCACAGTAACAATTTTAAAGGAATCTTTTCATGTGCGTTTGAATTTTATTATAGAGATACTGAATTTAACATTTCCTATTAAATGTCAATTAATTAATTATTTTTGGTGGTCGTTTTTTTCCAGGCAAAATTCCTGATGAACATACAGCCCTTCAACTCACACCACAAGCTGTAGCGGGCATGTTACCTGGCCAACCCACCTGGCCAGCTAATGTTGTAAGCCAGGTAAATAATTACTTCATAGCCTACTTTAATGTCTTAATTGTTTAGAGGGCCACATTATTATTTTGTAAGTGAAGATGGAAAAATATGTTCTTGGCAGCCTCCTAAACAAACAATACCATTGAACCATGGCTTCAGATTCTTCCATTGAAATTTTCCCTATTCTTGATTAATACAATAGATGTTTTAAAATTATTGGAAAAAAAATCTTTGTTTTTAGAGATTTCCCTATTGTGTACATCAAATGTTTCACACTATCCATCACAGATCAGGGATGGCCAGTGTGTAAAAATTGTCATTTTAAAATGAGGAAGGCCAATAATTGTGGAATTTGTATATTACATTGACATAAGAAATGTGTTTTTTTAAATGCTATAAACCATTTCATCATAATGTACAAATAAAATAAATTCACCATTTTAAAGAGGTGTCCAAGTCTGCTTAAAATTTAAAATAAATTATGAATCTTATTTTACAAAGCTTATTATGGTAAAGAATGTCAAAAATAAATATGAATAAGCAAGTTTATTATTATTTCTCAGGTTTCAGAGCAAAGGTTTTCAATCTCAGTTTTTAGCATTAAAAAAAATGCTGTATTTTCTTTTACTCTGTATTTGTAAAATTGTGAATTATATTTTATGAACATACAAATAAGTTTAAGGACTTTTTAAGGTTTTAATCACTGCAGTTTTAATTTTAGACTAAGAAAATTCCACCAATAATTGTAGATTTTTTCCCTACACAAGAAAATAGTTCAGCAAAATATTAATTGTTAATTTGCAACAACATACTTTGGCATTAGATTTAAAACATGTACAATTTTTGCAATCTTACAAATTGACTGTGTCATTATGTAAATGCAAGATTAATACTTACAAGATGGACTTTTAAAAAAAAATGTTATGTTGATGTTTCCCAATGATGCACATCAGGTGACAGGTGTTGGAATAAATCAAGTAATCACCACTTATGATCCAAGGCTTACTTCACTTGGTCTTCCCCAATACCCTCCACTGCCAGCAACTACAGATGCTAGTAAAATTGAGGAGATCAGACGTACAGTTTATGTTTCTGATTTAGATCCTAAGGTATATTTTTATACTAATTATAATCAATTAAAACTAATGCTCTTTTGCTAATTAAATTAAGCGATCAGCTTAAATATTTCTGATTTTAATGGCCCCAAACAATAATGGATAAATGTGTTTGCTTGTTTTAAAAAAAAAAAGATAGAATATTTTTGTGATAGTTTATATTGTAACCAAAATGATGGTGTGGTATATTCATCCATTCTGTATTCATTGGATGCTGCTGTTATACTGGGCAGTAGTACCTGAGGTTAAACGTATATAATATTAAATATTTTACTACATTTTTCCAGGTTACCGCAGAGATGTTGCTGAGTTTCTTTTCCCAAGTTGGGGAGATCAAATACATTAGATTGGCTGGTGATGAACGTGCAGCTGCGAGAGCAGCCTATATTGAATTTACAGACCAGAGATCTGTTGCTCAGGCTCTTACTTACAACAATGTCGTTTTTCAGGGTCGCACCATGAGGTGAGTTAGAAGTGTCATAGACATTTTATGCATGCATTTCATGAAGTGAAATTTGTAATTTTTCTTTGTAGACAATAGTTGTTCATCAAGCTCTTAAGTAGTATAACTGTACACAATTATGGAGTAAGTAATAATGCTTTGGATTTGCATTTTTTTCCCACTTTACTTCAGTGTCCAGCATTCTAAGACCAATATTGTTAAACCCATTGGAGGTAAAGTCAATGAGGCATCCCAGAGAGAGATAGATGAAGCTATGAAGAAAGTTAAAGAAGCCTCAAAATTGATATCAGCAGCTGCAAGTGAGCCAAGTAAGTTAGGTTCCTAATTTAAAAATTTAACTGCAATTAAAAAGATGTTCCAGATTGAATCCTTTAATTTTTATTTTAACATCATCTGGGGCTGTGTTAATTGAATGGGATTTTGATTATTCAGTCTATTTCTCATTACTTTAGTAGTCCTCTGTTAACCCTTTGGGGACAAAGCCTTTTCGGGCTGTCTGTGCCAAAAAGATGGAGCTCTTTGGCGAACTCGACACTCACATTGCAAAAAAATTTATAAAAAATAGACTATTTTACTTGTATAAAACTATATATATTCTTATAGAAAATTTAATAAGCTAATACAATATTTATAAATCAAACTGAAATTTCAACATTTATGCAAATGAGCTATCCTGATTTGCATAATTTATGTATAAAATAGTTGGTTAAACTGAGAATAAACATGTCTTACCGGTGTAAATTGTGTGAATTTTTTGATGGATGAAGCATGAATGGATCCTACCACATGTGTTTTGGAAAATAAGGCCCATGGAGGCCCTTCAGACACCACTGGCATAGAGCTCTACTCCTTTTCCTGCCCCCGGGGTACTTTTCGGTTGCTACAGACAGAGCAGTCCTTTTCACCATTGTGCACCCAATTATGGTTTATTTGAGCTGGGTGTTACTGAGAAAGTTGTCTGCATATTTATTAGTTATTATTATTCTCTCTCACAAAAATTTTAATGATATTTTGTGTAAAAATTAGCATAAAGTACTCTACTGGGGTGCTTATCCCATGAGGCATATTTATAGGCTCTATTTTTTTATAAATATTCATAGGGGTCATCTCTATACAATTCAGTACCCCTAATCCTAAATTAAGGATTCACAACATTATCGTAAGCATAATAATTTTGATTGTTCATTACTTTCCTTGTCGTTTTCATCAGTGTCAGATTCATTGCTAGTCAGCGAAAAATCACAATCACTAAGCACAATTTGATCAGAGTCGCTGTCAGACATGTTCAAATTTCATGATATAACTATACACACCAAAAATAATTCCTGCACACAAATAAATTTAGTTCACCGTCAACAAACGCCGCCATTACAATCCTGGGATGTGCAGGAATACGTAAGAATAATTTGATTCGCTGGTACAACGCTAAGCCAGCCAATCGTGAGGCTAGATTTATCGGGCCAATGGTACGGACTTTTGTCTTTCTCGCTAGTCAATCTTGGGCAGATAGATCGGCCCTTACGTCTCCAGAGGGTTAAATTTGACATTTTATTTTATTTTGGGGAGCAAGATAAACATCTATCTTTGGTTATAGTTTTAATGGAAAGCAGCATACCAATAAAATATTTCACGTTTGAAAAGTAAAATTATAAAGGGTTTCTTGCATAGCTGGATAATTATGTCGAAACTTAATGATTTTTAATTAATCTCACACTGATCTTTTCATGTTTTATATAGATATGCATCTTATGATTTCATTAGAAAAAGACTCTTCTAGATCTCCAAGTCGTAAAAGGTCCAGATCAAAGTCTAAAGTTCGCAGTCGTTCCCCTTCCAGAAGATCCCGTTCCAGATCAAAGGGCAGACGTAGACGATCAAGGTCTAGGTCCAAAAGGAGATCAAGATCACGTCATAGGTCACCAAGGAGATCAAGGTCACCAGTGAGAAGGCGTCGCTCCCGGTCTAGGTAATTTATTTAACATTTAAAAAATAAACAACTTAAGTAGATATAACACACGTAGATTATTTAACTCATACATTTTAAAACATACCAAGTTATATTATAAAATAGTTTTTGGGTTTGTTGTTTTGTTTTTTTTTGGCAAAATTTATAATATATGTAATATTTAAAGCAGAGTTCATGTCAAAAAGTATATTTGAATGCTACGTTGAAAGTCAAAAAGGGAAGAAGGGTATTTGATTTATGTGTGGGCATGTTTTTTATGACTGTTATCTGATGCAGGGGAAGAGTGGTTCCCACTGCCCCTCCATTGTGAGTATATTCAAGTGCTTGTGAAATCATCTCACTAGCCATTTTTCATCTGCTCACATATTTAGTTTTTGTTGGTTGTTGTTTGTTGCTTTTTTTTTTTTCCCCAATCTATTTTCTCTTTCATCATTTACTTGCTTAGTCCTTGTAGTTTTCCTGTCCTTTTAATTGTAACTTGCTGTGCTTAACTGAGGATATTTCTAAGATAAATACTTTTTAAAAATCTTGAAATTATTTTTAAAAATTATAGAAATTTTTTTTTTGTAAATGCCTGGCATAATATTTTAAATCAGCAATTTTAACACAGTGCTCTTAAGTTACCATATCTTTCAAGTGCTTAAATGTAATATTGGGAAAACATTAGTACTGCATCAACCATCTTCATTTAGCTGCTTGTCATGTCTTTATATTTTAAAAAGCTTGTTCATTTGTTCTTTCTTATATTTATTTTCCAAATAAAATCCTATTTTTTTCATTCAAAAAAACAAGAATGATTTGTAGAATTTGAAATAATATCAGAGTAGTGCTATGCCAAGTGTGAACATAGCATGTCAATGTTACCCTCTGTTTTATAAAAAAAATCATTTTTAAAGGTTTCAATCACGCCGTCCCTTGCGAGCAAAAAGAAGATATGCAGAAAAACTCCTGGTTTCGAGGAAAGCATATTTTATGATTCAAACATGTTAAAGTTAATGTTGCGCATTTAATTTTTCAAGTTCAAAGCTTGTAGCAAAGAGACATGAAGCAAAAGTGAAATGTGATCAATGACTGAATAAAACAATAAAATTAAATATCTCTTTTTTACTCCTATGGGACAATTAAAGCATTAATTTTATCTGCATGTTATTATTTTCGATTATATTTGCATACATTATGGTTTTAAGACTTTTTAAGTGTAAACATAAACAATATTAAATTTAGATATGTCAATTAATGTTAAGAAATTGTTGTGCCTAAATTTATTTTATTTTTTTTAAATGTAACTGTTATATTTATATTTATGCTTTGAAATTTATTATCAACTCAACATTTTTTTGAAGTTACCATCTTTAAGTTTAAAAAATAAAAAATTTGATCTACACACAAATAAGCTTACTCTAAATTTTAGATCTTACAGTATTTTTAAAATCTAAAATTAAATAGAAATTGTCTGAGACCGCAGACAATGCTTTGTAAGTTTCAATGTTAACATACTCTTTATTGACAGACAAAATTTTGATCCACCAATATGAAAGATGCCTTCTAGCAAGCAAATCCATTATTGAAATAGAAATTTTTTATTCCTGTTCAAATTATAACAAATGAATGGGAGCTGTAGATGTTTGGTGTTTCATTACTTCTCATATTTTATAAATAGACTTAACACTCCTTTATAACTTTGCTTGCCTAATATTTATTACATTACCTGTATGATATTATTTTTGTGCCAAGCATATTTTTTTGGTATCATTATCCTTTGTATAGCATTTGGTTGTCTTACATACACAACTATAAAAAAGTTTTAATCATTTTCAATGATCTTTTCCTCTTAAGTAAAATCACATAGTAACAGAAATGTTATTTTTCTTGGTATAATGAAAATATTTACATCATCATTAATTTCCAAATCCTACTAGAAGGCTGTTTCAGTGCAATAAATAATGCATATTTATAAAATAATCATGCGCCAGTTAGAATATAGCTTTGCTAGTAGATATGTTTATGTTAATTATTTTGACACCTCTATTCTCATCATTAATTTATTATATAATTTTTTATTGACATACATTCAACTTTTGCTCGTGTGTTAAAAATTTTAAAAGTTCCTTAAAATTGTGTACATTTTCCTTCAGTCTGACTTAAATAAGAATATTAGCTTCTCTATGTTATCATTAATAAAAAGAAAGCCAAGGTTAAGAGAAGATCCTGAATAAATAATGCTTTGTTTCTTAATTTTAAAAAAAATATAAAATGATTTCTGGCAATGCCCTGAGAACAAGAGGAGCTAATTGTGCCATAGTTTTATTTGTTTGGTTGTCTTTCCTTTAACTTACAGTAAGTTAACAATAACTGAATCTATTAAAATACTGTTCCTTAAAACCTATCCTTCTTTGCTTCTACATCAGCATCTATCTCTGCTTGAGTGCTTTAATTTATGTATCATATTGTCTTTTTGGAGCTTATTCACTTATTCAGCTTATTCAAGGATTATTGTACTTCTTCAAAGCCTAACTTTGCTAGTCCAAGATTTAGCTAAATAAAACATGATTATTTTCTCTTTAAAATTATCAATATATGACTTTGAGACATGATCCCAATTTAAAGGTGATGGCCGGCAAATCATTTTTCCAGTTTGTTTAAGAATTTTTAAAATCAGTCTAATATATCATACATTTTACACATATCAAGTAGTACAAATAAGACTATTGCAATTTTGCTTGGGCTGGAAGAGTTAGTCTTTTATTTATTAACAGAAGTGTTTTTAAGGCTAGTCGCAAACCATAAGAGTTAATGTATTTAAACTGTAAAATATATATCTATTACAAGTACTAGGCACTAATATTGTTGCATTAAATTTTAATTTTTTTAAAATCTCTAGACGGAGGTCACGGTCAAGAGACAGAAGGAGGTCAAGGACAAGGTCTCCAGTTAGACGCAGGAGGTCTCGGACAAGATCAAAGTCCAGGTAATAAAATTGTTTGCAGAATCAAGGATTTTAATTAATTTTCTGAATTTTAATGGCTGATTTTGAAAGGTTTGAAATATACAAATTATGAACCTTTTAGCATTTATAACTTATGAATTAGAGTGTGAATTGATTAAAATCTTTATTCTTCCTTATAATGAAGTGAGTTTTAGAGGGTTGTTTTAATAGCTCATTCGCTAATCCATTCCAAAAACAGGAAAATTATGCGAATGTTTATCATTATTTTATGCTTTTTCTCATGTTAATAATTGGAACCCTACTCTAAGCTTAGACCCAACCAAAATAAGTTAAGAATTGGTTATTGAGGATATCTTGTTGAGTTTTTGTTGAATGTGTTCAAATTTATTTGCCCAGACGTAGATCCAGGACTCCACCCAGGTCATATAGTAAGAGGTCTCGATCCAGGTAATGTAATCAGACTATCTGATACTAAGACTTATTATCTTTAATATGTGGAATTTAATTTTCTCCACAAAAGTAGATGGAAAATGTATGAATTAGAAATAAATTTATTATCTTACTGTAATTGTAGGAGCTACTTTGGTAGAGGTGGCTATAGTTTTATGCATACACCACTAGAATAAATTAATTTCTTTATTGACAAGAAACGAAATACGTTTTCATAAAACTTATTATGCTGCATCTTTTGTCTCTACTAATGGAAATCTTTTTTTTCTGTTGAAGGAGCAGGCGTAAGTCAGTGTCTCCAAGTCGTAGAAGAAGTCGCTCTAAAGATCGTAAGGAAAAAGTCAAAGAGAAAAAGAAGAGTGCTTCGTTATCCCCACCACAGTTGGAGAGAAACGGGTCATTACCTCCAAAAGAAGTTGACACGGAAAGAGATGATTCACCAGTGAAAATTGAAAGCAGGTAAATAAAATAAAGAATTAATCTTTAAAAATTAGGGTAGTGTGACATCCTTTTAATAAAAAGGTTGTTATGATTTTGATACATCATGAAATTATTTATATAAATGAGGAGTCCATTTACAAACCCTGCTGAGTAATTTCTTCTGATTTAGAGAAAAATTGAGTTTGTGTAAATTAATTTATGTAGCCAATATAGCATTTATATATTTTTAAATGTTGAATTTTAGACTTATATGAAGCTTTTTAATCATTAAATACACAAAATACTGTCGACTGACACTAATTAACCTGCCAAGATGGATAACTCATTTATTTTAAAAAAGTTACTTCGAAGGTTTTGCAATTGGTCTCCTCAAATAATATGTTAATTCTGAACTCTTTCCACAATAAAGTTTCACAACCTCAGCCTTCATTGGAAATTTATTATATTTTTAACCTCTTAGCAAGGTGTGTACAACAGACCCATGAAATTTTACCTGCAAATAAACCTAAACAAATGACATTAAATAAAACCATTTTTTTTTTTTTTTAAATAATGACCCTGGTTGAGTTCCATAAATTATCATCTCATCACTGGTGTGGAAATATATTTTTTTTAAAGCTATCTATAAGCATGCCCTCCTGTTTTTTTTTAGTCCCAAAGTTGAGCCTGTGCAAGTAGGAAGTAAACTGAGGTAATGTTTTCCTTACAGATATTATTTTAAATGTACATCTGATTATTTTTTTCACTCCTTTTTTTTAAACATAGATCACATAATTATCTTAAATAGAATCCAAAAGCACATGATAACTTTATAACCTCAACCTCTTTCTGCTTTCAAATTACTCTTCCTAAAGACTATTGTTTATTTCATTTCTGGCAACTCTCATTCCATTAGCAGAATGCAAGAGCTGCAATTACATAAATATGTTTAATTTTTTATTACATCATTCTTATAAATAAAATCATGACAAAAAAATTTGTTGCATACATTTGAGTTGGTTGACACACATTGAAACTACTAAGATTTCAGACCAAAATCGTGAGGTTTCAGTCTTAAATGGTAAGACCGACATTGACCTACTTAATCCGTCCTGTTTTCCAGTTCATGTTTAAATGTGAAGAAAATATTTAAAATTTAATGATGCATTTATTTTTGTGGGTTTATTTCTTGGTATTGTAAAAATAACACAAAAGAACACCCACGTCTATGAAATAAAATACACCATTTTCAAAAAGAAAATGATTATTTTTGCTTTAAATCCTAAAAGAAAAAATATGAGTGTGGGGCTTAAAAGTTATGTAGTATAGAAGTAAAGAAACAATGGGTTCATAAAGGGGAAAAATATGGGGGGGAAAAAGGGGGGGAAGAACAACACTGTTACCCATAATGTTGAGCTTTTTTTCTAATGGGCAGAATTGTGTGATGGAGTCTGTATGCGTGTCATATTTTTATGTTTACCTTTTTTATTTTACTATGCAACTGTTTGCTTATAGTTTTACAACATTTTGTTACAGAAACTCTGGATTAGGATACTTATTTTTTTTTTTTTTTTTTTGTGTCAGAGAGTAAAGTTTTATTCTTTTTTTTTTTTTAATATGTTAATTTTAATTTTTTACTTTCTTTTTATATTATTTTCTTAATTTTTTAGGATACTTATTTTTTTTTTTTTTTTTTTGTGTCAGAGAGTCAAGTTTAATTCTTTACTTTCTTTCAATAAGTTAAGTTTAATTCTTTACTATCTTTTAATATAATTTTCTTAATTTTCTCAACAGCTGAAATATTTCATTGTTTGGTGATCAATATATATTCATACCAACAATTTAAAAAATTTCTCATCTTAGGCCTTGTAACTTGTAGTAAAAAAAATTACCTTATGATCAATTGAATGTATTTTTCTCCACTTGTACAGCACAATTAATGCTGATGGAGATAGTGGGAAAAGTAGCTCAAAGAAGAGGTAATATGTTCTTATTGACAGTTTCCATGACATGTTCTTACCCACAGTTTCATCTGCTATAGTTCATTCCACACTTAACTCGAACAGAATTTATGGCACATTTTTATTTTTCAAAAGTAAGGTTTAATTTCATTTCAGAAAAGTCCATGACCTTTTTTTTTTCCAATGGTGTTGAGTAATTTTTTCCCAACACCCTTGAAAAAATTTACAGTCTTTCAGATTTGACTTTGCTGCTCCTGATATTTTCTGTCCTTTCATGCACCTGGCTTAATAATTTTCTTGCATGATACTTCAAATACACATATCCATTTGAAGTTTTTTAAGTTAGGGACATTAACCAAAAGTTATTGATTAGTGCAAACATTGCACTGCCTCAACTTTTTTCCCTGAAGGTGGGAATACAGTATTTTTTTTAAATGTTCAGATGATAGTACCAGGTATTTGTAACTGGGGTCTATTGTTATGACTGGTGTAAATAATAATTTTGACAATCCTTTTATTTTGTTGCTTCAACAGATCCCCAACACCCTTGAAATCTCGCCGCATCAGCCCATCACCAAGGAAACGTAGTCGTTCCAGATCACCCAGGTAATAATATTCTTTTAATCATTTTATGTTAAATTTATTGTTAATTGGTATGTTGATTATTTCCTCATTTTAACTAAGATAATTATTATATTCTTTCTCTAAAATTTATTAAAAATCAAATATTTGCAGTCGTCGGAAGAGGAGGAGGAGGACAAGGTCACCAACACCACGAAAACGCTCAAGAAGCCGAAGTGGATCTCGAGTAAGGTGAGATCATACCTTAGCTTTGTGTGTCCTGGAAAATTTTAATTAGTTTTCAAAATTTCGCATTGTCAAGTGTTATAATATAAATTTTAAAACAACATTCACCTTTAATTCATAATTTCTAATACAATCAGTTCCTTAATGCTTAATTATAATTAATATTACAATGGAATCTGTCTTTAAGCTTCTTCAAGGTATATTGATAAATTTGGTATTTTTAAGAAACATCCAGAATATTTTGGGGTTTTAAGTCAATATCATAGCTGTATTGTATTGAGGATTTCTTTAATAATACAAATCTTTTTTCTATTGAGTTTTTGTCTGACTGTGAATTGACATTATTTTTAAAAATATGACAAATCAATCAATTACCTGAAAAATGATAGTTCAGTAGCCTTGATTTTGATATTGCTAAGAAATTAAATTTAAAAAAAAATAATATTTAACACATATTATGAAGTATTATTTAGGCCATATGGCAAGAGAGTGTTGTTAGACAAAAATCCCACTTTCTTGAACAAAAAAATCCAGCTCTATATCATTTATCTTTTAGATGATCCAAACACTCCCTCAAAAGCTCATAACTTTTTTTCCACCATACCGCCAATGAAAACGTATTAATTACTTTTGTACTATATTTGACAGTTTCAAAAGCTTATAAATTAAAATATTAAAAGAGTTATTTTTAAAATTTTTAAAGATATCAATTATTAAAGCTTAGGGAAGATATAGCTTTTTTTAAATTAAAAATAAATTCCTTTTTTTTTTTTCATTTAATCCCTAGGTCAAAACGAGAGCGCAGCAAAAGGAGTCGCAGTAGAGAACGCAGACATGAAGTAAAGAAGAAGAGTGTCAGGGATAAAGAAGAAAAAAAGAAGGACCCAAGTGCTTCAAAGGTCTGTGGGTGTTAGATGTATTCTGTCAGTAATTTTTTACAAAATAATCTTATATTATGGTAAATGTGATTAATTTAGCAAATATAGTCAACTTTGTACATTTAAAAAATATCAGAAATAGAAATAATAATCTGCATAATTATCATATATCATGTACTTCACTTAGTATAGATAAAGGAAAGAAATTGGGATGGAGGATATTATTCCCAAACTTTCTCTAACTTTGATCTGTCTCAAGTCTTCACTTCTATCAACATTGATCCATAAAAACAAGATAGGTGCATTTCTGAAAAAAATTATAACATTATTATATGTTTTAATGGATCCTGAATGCGGAACAGAGCAGTTCAATTTTTTATGTAATTCTGATAAAAAAATATGATCGAATAAAAATTAATATTTTATGGAATGCCTACACTTTTGTAATGCTGCATAATTGAATAAATTGGGTGTAGTCATGTACAAATCATCAGGGTTTGTTTTTACAATTTCACACTTAAAAATAACAAAGAGATATCAGGATCAAACATATTTTTTCCATCCACCTTAGTTCATCAAAGAATCACAAAAATTATAAGATCTCTGTACAAACTCCAATAAAATACAAATATTTTTAGATTCTTGAAATAATCGCTAAAAACCAAATGGGCTTTGTGGGTATGGAATTTCTGTGCCGGTACTGATAGTTTTTTTTTTTTTGCTAAATATTTAATGAATAAAAGAGAAATATATGTTTAGCCTATATATATACACACCCAGATATTTTAATTGCACTTCTATTATTACTAATAAAAGTTTTGATATATCCTCTTCAAAAATAAATCAGAGACTCAGTTGTTGGTTTTGCAAAAAGCTCTGTTTTCCTATAATTATGATGATGATCAATGACAGATAATTATAATGGCGCGAATGTAATTTTTAAAAGTGATTTTATGATATAATTATTTAGAATAATGTAGTTATCCACTGATTGAATGTATTTTTTTTTCACTGATGTCCGACCAATCTGACAGGTGAAGAGAGACTACGATGAGGAAGAAAAAGGTTTTGCCAGTGGGAGCGACAAGGAGAGAGATAACAGTGAAGAGAGGTCACTCTCTCCCCCAACATTGGAAGCTGGTGATAAGGACTCTGACCACCAGCCAGTAGACATGGACATGAGTGACTGATTCATTTCATCAGCTGTGTAGAACAATTGACACTGTCGAGTTAGGAAGCTCATGTGGACGATTCTGTCATGTATTTATGGTTGCACCAGTTATCAACAGGACAACTTGCTTGAGACTAACGGATGATTTTTTAATTGAACTTATCAGGGTGGTTTTTTTTTTTTTTTTGGTTGCTTTTTGCTTGAGCTTGAAATCTAAAGCTTTAAATTTTGACACGGCTCGAAGTTGTCTTGAATTGATTTCACAATCATGAAATAATATTAGTTATTGATAGTTTTTAAAAAAAATAATGAAAAATGTAAAATTGCATTACTTTTTCTTTTTACGTTTTTGTTTTTTTTTTTTTTTTGGTTGCTTTTTGCTTGAGCTTGAAATCTAAAGCTTTAAATTTTGACACGGCTCGAAGTTGTCTTGAATTGATTTCACAATCATGAAATAATATTAGTTATTGATAGTTTATAAAAAAAATAATGAAACATGTAAAATTGCATTACTTGTTCTATTTACGTTTTGATCCATAAATAAGACAAATACTCTTGACTAGGAATAGCACCTGTAAATAATGTGTTCTTATTACACTAACATGCAGAGCTAGACTTGTGCAGATGTTCAGTTTAATCTACTTGTTATGTCTGTTCCTAAATGATTTGGTTGTACGATTTAAAAAAATAAATAAGTATCGGTTAACTATGCCATCTACATCTTCACCTACACCATAAAACACCTTTTTTAATGTTGTTATCATTTGACAGATATTTTCCAGTTGAAATTAGAATGGTGTCTAGGATCTGAACATTAAAACTTGAATGATTAATTGTCTTGAAGTTTTGAAAATGATCTCTTTTTTTTTTTTTTTTTGGTTGTGTTTGTGCAAAAGGAAGTACATAGTAATCCACAATCTCAACTTGAAATCAAAGTTTTCTTGTCACTCCAAATTTTTTTGCATCATTCCTAGCAGATGTTTAATGTT